CGGAAAAACCGGCCTTGTTATACAGCCAACAAATGCATATAGCCATGCATTGGAAGGAGGGAAAACCACCTACATCTAAAAGACAGACTAATGAATTAGCATCATGCTCATCAAATGAAAAGATAATGTATAACCTGAGGGGCAAACCAGGAGAGTGACCAAGAGACAGAGCATGTAAGTTAGGATCCATTTGTTGTAACTACTGACTCTGTTGAGTATGTAAGTCAGGTCCTTTGTATGAGTGTTGAATCTAGAATTATCTAATTAGTGGTATAAGCCTATTTACGTTTGCAGGTTTGTACATTTACACCAAAAAAAACAAACAGACAGAGTCTTCTATGAACACCGACGCCAAGTTACTTAATCCATTGAGAAATTGCAAATCATTCTGTTGCTTTTTTTGTTTTTCGCTTGAAATTTTGAAAGTTAGAAAGTTGACAACAACAACAACAGCAGCCAGGTCAACCACCAGGTCATGTTACACAAGGTTAAAAACCAACCTCGTTCAAGTTCTTGTTTTTTTTTCTGCAAGAGTGATTTTCACCCGTTTCTGACAGTTCCAAGAAGACAGCTGAACTCTTCTTTCATCTTGCTGCTTTTCTTTCCCTCCTAAAATCACCCAACTGTAGCCCCTCTAGGAAAACTGAAGTTGTCACATCCATTGTTTCAACTTTTTCTTTTTTTTGGTTGAGAAAAATCCATCCTCCCAGGTTGCTTGAAATATACCACATTTCCACACTTGAGTGCAAGCGGATCATTGTCAGCCTGGCTTACTGCCAGGGAGTAAAGTGCTGGATAATATCATCCTCCTGTGACGAGAGCTCTCCTGTGACTGTGATCTAACTGTCCCATCTCCCCCGTCCCATCAATACACCTGAACACTGCAGTGTGTGCTTCACAGCGTCTGTGCTTTCGCATCAGAATCAAAGTGTTCTTTGATTAATTTGCTAAACTGCTCCATGATGACGAGTGCAGAACAAATGTGAAACACGACTATACAGATTTCTAGCGTGTTCGATTCCATTTATTAAAAGGAAGAATGTTCGACTTTTTGATCCAGTAGATGTCACCCTTGAGTACCAGCATGAAACCAAAACAAACTTCTGTTTGGCTACACCTCAGCTATTCTGAAGCCTCCGCTCTCCTCCAGCGACACCACCTCCAACCCCCCCTCTCCTTGCCTTTACACAACAGGAGTTATTAATTGGAACTAGGGTTGCAAAGGAGTGGGAAATCTCCGGTACATTTCCGGAAACTTTCCATGGGAAGTTAAGCAGGGGAATTTTGGAAATATTGAAAATCGGAAATTATGGGTATTTATGGGAATTAACTGGAAATTGAGAGTAATTTAATCGAACCGTATCATAGCCAAGCATAAATATAAACATTTTGTTTTGTCTTAGCCTCATAAATGGTAAATGAAGTGATGCTAGCTATAGCTTATTTAGCATCTAACTCACCAGCTAGCTGCAGTAAGCAGTGTGCTATGATTGAGGAATAGCATAGATACCAGATTTCAGGTACTTGCATGAAATCTGGTTGTTTTAGTCAAGTTTATGCTAAAATATATTTTCCCAAACTATATTTAAGTTTCCTGTTACAGGGCCAACATTCAATTTAGTAAATTCCCGGTTTATTCCTGTTAATTCCCATGGAAAGTTTCCAACTTTGAAAATTCCCAGAATTTTGCAACCCTAATTGAAACACACCAAAATTAAGAACCATTAAGCACAAGCGGAGGACAAAATTGCCGTTGGCTCGAGCCGCAATTGCCTGTGTCCTGCATAGTTGTGTTAGCACGCTAATGTTAGCTCCTAGCTTCATATTGATGTAAATTGACACAGAATGACTGCAATCTAAAAACGCTTACTTGACATTCAAATAAGCACTGTATCAGTGTTCTTCTTATCTCTAGTCCCTTATTTAAACAGCTTTCATACATAAGGGGCGGAGCCAGTCGGCCGTCCCGTCCATATAAACACGATGTAAATACAGCTCAGGGAACAACACACCCAGCGGGACTCGTTCTCTCACTCATTGTAGACGGTCATGACTCAGAGAGACACTTACAGTACAGTAAATAGTAAATGCTTGATTTCTGCTGTATTTATGTGTAAAATATCGCAGTCTTTCTTTAAACAGACCACAAAAAGGTGCAAAAACAGAGCAGTCACTAGGTTTAAAGCTGTGAACAGAAGCCCGTCAGGGTGCCTTAACTACTGCAGTCACCTTCACTTTCGGGGGTTAATGGTTCAGTTAAAGCTCAAGAGGGACAAAAAGCTGCCCTGCTGCTGGTCCAGTCAATGCCCCTGTGGGTTCAACAATGTGTTTTTCACTTTATGAAGTCAGACAGAGACAGACCAGAAAAAGGCTCATTAGAGCTGTGGGTGTTCTCTCCAGGGGCCGAGGACAGACTTAACCTCTGAGACACCCAACCCACACAAAGACACACACATCCTCACACACACACTTAAGCATGAAGAGAATCACTTTTACTGGTTTTAAGATTAAGCATCAAGGGTAACCACTCTCTGCCTCCCTACATCTCCTCCGTTACCTTCACCCACTCCTCCTCCTCCTCTCTTCTCTGTTACCCCCCTTAGGTCTGCTGGAGCCAGGTAACTCCCCTGGCTGGAGTAGATAACAGCAGCCATTATCAGATTCCCAGCATTTAAACAGCAGCTCGGCATCGATCGCTGCAGCTATACTGGTCTCGACTGTCCTGCCCGCATGGTGCCAGAACGATCGGGGGAGTGCGATCTAAACTAATCCACGACAACTATGATCTAATCCACCCCTGTGCGACAAATGTCTGGTGAATTTATTTAAAAAGCCGACTGACTCGGTCTCGCCATATTATCCACGTTTAAAGTGCATCATCGTGTTCTGCTGTCTGGCGCCTGTTTGTTTGAGAAACCCGATCCACCTCTCTCCCGCTCAGACTCACAGGCTGATAACCCAGCCGCCTGTTTGGAGAGCATCCGAACAAACAAGATTACATAACTGATCAGATTACTGAAATAGTCCCCAATCAATTAGAAAAAAAACATGTAACGAGCATAATCAGCCAGGTCTGAGTGATAATTAGATGTGTTCGACCTGTAGCAGGAGCATTAGTGATGTGATTAGGGATTTACTGATCAAATACTGCTGGACTGATAATGGGGGCACAATTGTCATGTTGTTTTGTAGATCAGATCAGGTAACTGCCATGACGTCACCCATCAGTTAATCTTTTCTTTGTTTTATAAGCACCATGAAGGTCCCACTTCAATCTGCCTTTTTCTCCGAACATAAAAGCAGTAGATCCTGAAGTTTGTACTAATTCAAAAATAGACCTTGAATCCATGGATCCAGAATCGTTTTGAATCAAAAATCGATTCTGAGTCGAATCGTGAGACACCCAAAGATCCTAGCCCTAGTGTCTACATCTCTGTTTTTAAAAGGAGCATTCTGTGAGATATTTACTATATTAAATGATAAAATCATCAGACATTAAGGAAACATGCTATATTGAAGTGCTGGCTTCTCTGACAACAATGAAGCAGCCAGTATGTCGTCCTAAGTTTAGATGCTGGTCCTGAATGCTCTGTTTTTTGGTTGGACAAGAGAAGGTAGGCGGTTTTAAGGCACCCCCACGATTGTTTTAGTGGCTCTTTAGTTTGCCAGGCAAACGACAAACCAGCATCGATGGAAGCAGGCTAATGAACTGGTTCAGATAGATAGATAGATAGATAGATACTTTATTGATCCCGAGGGAAATTCAAAGCATCCAGTAGCAGGTTACAAAGACGTACATGACATGAAACATTTCTTACAAATTAAACATAAATACAGACACCCCCCTCCCATACATATATATTAACCCGAAAAAAAAGATTTAATGAATCCCCCTCGATGTATCAAAATCAAACTGTGCAATTAAAAATAGACATAACCCGTGCAGGGATACAAATATATGTGAAATTATTATTAGATAGAAGTGATTCTGCCCGACCTAAAAAGCCTCTGCATGTTTCTTAAAAGCTCCCCGAGCAGAAACGTGCTCAAACTAGGATAAACCTTGGAGATGCTTTTAAATAAAATGGAGAGAGGTTAGAACGCAGAAGAAATTCAAGACCGATGCAGAGCTGGCTAAACACTGAAGCTTCATGCACTTTTGTGCTGCCTCCTCTTTTCTTTCTACCTCTGAGCCCTCAGCTCTGCCTCAGTCACACTAACTTGTCCTGAGCTGAAAGAAAAAGACAACGTGCTCCTGAGGGCTGTGTCCCTCTTGAGAGCAAAGACAGTTCAAAAAAAAAGAAAAGAAAAAGAGGCCAAGCAGAGAGGGAACATTTCCTCATCCTCTGCTACATGGCCGGAGAGTAATAGTCTGTAAAAAAGGAGACAGGATCATGTTTCAGAGCCGGACAATGAAGCGAAGAAGGAGAGCCAGGCTAGGAGGCAGGAAAGGGCTGACTCAATGCTTCTCACTGTGTGTGTGTGTGTGTGTGTGTGTATGTATGTGTGTGTATTTGCCTCTGCATAACGTGTCAACATGTGAACAGGACACACGAGGCTGTGTGATACTGCTGCCCTGTCATATTGACCCAAACACATCCCCACAAACAAGCAGCTGGACTGTGGCTCGCTCGGCCAGGATTCAACATATTAAATTCTCGTTGGCAGATGCACTCTGAGTTCTGTTGATGCAATTGCGAAAAAGGAATGACGCACAAGCACACATTTGCACGGACGTGACAAGAATGCGACGCCTTTCTTTTTCCTCCTTTTAGCAGAGAAAAAAAAAAAAATGTCTCAAAATTAAAAATCGCACACAAGAATTTTTGTCTTTTGATTGAAATTGGCCTTCACAGGAAAGCAACAAGAAAAGCCAAAGAATTCAGAAGTCCTATGAGTGTGATACATCGGATGTCAAGCTGCGCTAACAAATATTGAGTCACATTTGTGTGCGTGTGTGTATTTCTGTGACTTTGCATTCATGCGATGATTCTATGTACCTTGACAGCAGGGGCGACTCCATCCTCAGTCGTGCTCTGCCCATTCTGCAAAGAAAGAAAGAAAGAAGATTTGAGAATCAGTACATACATCATCGTGTGTGTGTGTGTGTGTGTGTGTGTGTGTGTGTGTGTGTGTGTGTGTGTGTGTGTGTGTGTGTGGAGAGAGAGGGGAGAGCCGCACAAAAGAGAGAGAAAGACAGGGAGAATATTTGCGAGACTGCGTGGGTGGCGGCGGCGGTCCATTGTATGCAGCACTTTGCTCCTTGACGGGCAAACCTAATAATATTAGGCTGCGACACAAAATGCACATCCCTTCATCCATTCCCCCCCCTCTTTGTACGCAAGTCCTGCTGAAAGGCTAATTATTGTTATTTGGGAAAACAAAAGGCTCACCTGAGGCTGCTCAGTAAGCTCAGCATGTTGTTCATGCGAGTTTGTAGGTGGGAAACTTTGAACATACAGTAGAGCCGTTTTTTACATATGCACTCCGGATAACATCTAGATATTTACAGGAGGACTTCTCCGGAGATTCTCACATCATTCTCTTTCTATCGGCTCAAATTGAAATCTCCGGAGTATATGCTGCCGCGTTCAGACATCAGTTCACTCGGAAAAAATACTAGGGGTCTGGCCGGAGAAACTCTGGGTAAAGACCGCGCAAAAAATGCGGCAGTTTGCGTTCACACATAGCCCAAATCCCCTCCGGGTAGCCAAATCTCTGGATTTTTTCAGGAGATTTCCGTATGTGTGGAAAGGGTTTAGGACAGGTTAGCTTGAATTCTTGTTCGGTTGCAGAAAAAAAAAAAAAAAGGCAAAAAGAGGAGAACAGGAATATGACAGAAGGCTGAGGGGGGGGTACCTGTGATGTCACACGGAGGACAGACTAACAACAGCGCAGGAATACATTAAAATGTTGTCTTGCTGACTCAGGATGTCCACATACTGAGAGGATACATCATCTTTTTAAAAATCACAGAATTTCTGAACCCCGGGGCTGAAGAGTCAGCTTCTGCATTTTTACTTTTTTCTTCCTGCACTAGACAAAAAAGGGACCCATATCTGGAAACATCCAACCCTATACATTTGCTTTAAAAGTCTATGAATCTGTCACATAGCTGTAATGTTTATGGAGAGGAGAGGGGGGGATATCTGATCATAAACATCAGAAGGCCGAGATCTGGCAAATTACATCACTAGATTTGACGGCCACTGTATCAAGAGAGGGACATGTAGAAAACGATTCACTGGACAGGACTTTAACTGAACAGATCGAGGGTGTAACAGATGTTTACCCACAGGGTTAGCATGTTAGCGGATTTGTCAGAGATGCTAACATGTGGTAAAGACTTAAATCGTTGCTCAATAGTGCACACGTCTACACGTTTCTAACTTGAAGTGAGAGAACAAGAGAAACAAGATTTGAAGCTGATAGTTTTATGATATTCTATGTGTATTTCACAGGTAGGTATTCAGACTTTGGATGTTCGAGGGTTCTTCTTGTTTTAGTTTGCCAAGATATCTCAAAATGAAATCGATTCTGTGCGGCGATGGATAGCCTAGCTCAAATGTGTTGCATTCCCCATGTACGGCGGCTACAGTCGCTGTCGCGGTGGTTAATGGTTCAAATATGATCGTGGTCATCCCCCACTCTCTCTCCTCCGAACACTTCCTGTCTCTCTTCAGCTGTCCAATCCAATAAAAGGCAAAAGACGTCCCCCAACAAAATAACGCTAAAAGAAAAATCTAGAGTGTCTCATCATATTCTCCAAATCTCTCAGAGTATTTCCCTCAAACCCTCTGAACTCTGAAAAAAATCCATAGACTTCCATCTTAAAATGAGAGGACACAAGTAAGTGATTCTCTGAGGACTGTCAAAGCCGCATCTCAAGTCTTCACACAGGATGATGATTACTCTTGACAAGTACATTACAAGTGAAATGGAGGGATGATGACGCTGAACGTCTCTTCTTTCAAACGACTGAAGTCAATACTCCTCGGTCCAGAGTCAATTACTCTGGTCAAGACTGAAAACCCCATAAATAACAACCCCCCCTCCCCCCCTCCTCTTTCCTCTTTGTTATCAGCTACAGAGAGGTGACCCTGAGGTAGTTCACTTCCCTCTTCCTTCTTCCTCTTCCTTCAGACTGCACCAAACAAGACAGGCAGGGCAACTTAGCACAATGACAAGTCGTGGCCTCAACGATCAAACAGTATGGAGAGGAGAGAGCGAGACGTGAAGGCATCACAGGCAGCGACAGGAGAGGCTCGTATAGTACATGGGACACACAAAAAAAAAAAAAGACACACTTCCGATCTTTTAAATGGTCCCTGTAACACTTCAGATTACACTTCCCTCTGTGCTTTGTTATTCTTGGACACTGGATGTACTTTCAAATTCTCTGGCTCGAGTTTACTCTAGCGAGGACAAAGCGCATTAAAACTGGACGAGTTTTGAAAGGACCAGAAGGTTACTCGTCTGGACTGAAAAGTGAATTTAACAAAGCTTTGTGTTTCTTAAAAGCTTGAGTTGTGAGGTAGAGAAACACCAAAAAATCTCAATATTCAGGCACCAGTCGCCCAGCGGGTATGTTGTGCGCAACATGTACAGAGACTATAGTTTCTGGTACGACGGAGAATTAGGGCCATGTTAAATCTTTTTGTTTTTCTTTTACGAGATTAAACTCGTAAATTTATGAGTTTAATCTTGATGAAAATACTTTAAGAGTTCTACTTTCATCAATTTGCGCAGGCTGGTCTTGAACTCGTTAATTTTCGACTTTAATCTCTAATTCTTTTTTTTTTTAACGTGGCCCTAATCCTCCGTCGTACTCTGGGTTTTTTCTTCTAAAAAAAAAAAAATATCTGACAAAAACATGAAAAAATAATTTTGGTTTTATTTTATCAATAAAATGTAACAAAAGCAAACTAGGTTTCTCCTTCAAAGATGAATAAAGTTGTGGTTAAAGTGCAAGTTGCCTTTAAAAGTGCTCTAAGCAGTTTTACGGTACAACAAAAGCTCAGATGAAGCAGGGCAACTTTAGCAAAATACTTGTGGCACATACATGAGGCCACTCAGCCACTCTGTAGGAAGCAAGAGGGGGGGGGGGATGTGAACTATGGGAGCCCAAAGGGGAGTGGCTGAGTAAGTTAAGGAGCAAAATCTTGATTTTCATTGTTGGAAATCCTGATTTTCCACACATACGATTTATTAGAATCAGAATCATAAATACTTTATCAATCCCCGGGGGAAATTCAGTAAATTGATTGATAAGACAGATTTTCACCCAGCCCTAGTCAGTAGGGATTTTTCAAAGAAAACAAAGGAATCTGTGTGTTTAATTATTAGAGGCTTCACTTCTAGAAACACAAAAGATCTTTTCCTCTTAGCTTCACCATCTGACTCGTCCTTTGAGTTCATCTTCCAATCAATGTAATGTGTGTGTCTGTCTTTGTGTAAACCAATATGTAGAAGACAAACAGCAGGACTTCTACATGTGTGAGTTTAACTGTCAGGAGTCTGTGTGTCTGTGTGTCTGTGTGTGTGTGTGTGTGTGTGTGTGTGGTCAGTCAGCAGTGCCTCAGCCGCGTTGCCTCTCAACACATTTTGCCCTCATTAGCGTCGCATGGCTGATCCAAGTGGCCCAGTTAATGGTGCTCTCCCTCCCCTGGGCTCCCTCAACGAGAGCGCAGGCGTGCACACACACACAAACAGCCACATGAACATGCTCAAAGTTGAACACATTAATAAGTAAAACGTGATACGAATGTATTCAAAAAAACATTGTTAGCAAGTGTGTGTGTGACTAATGCGCACAGGTAGAAATGTACCAGCATGCTGTGAAAACATTTAAAGCTCAGCCTTAAGAGCAGAACTTCACATTTCTCACAGGACTCCGATACGATTACGGAAAGTAAACAATCTCGGAGCGCTGCAGCAGCTGTGTGTGTGTGTGTTTGGTAGATTAATCGGTGTTTTAACAGCCAGATTGGAGAAGCGCTCGCCCTGTAACTAGGCAACTATAAGAAAATACAATCAGCATGCTCCTGTCTGTGCCTGTAATCCTGTCTGACTAAACTTCCCGTAATCTCACTTTCCAGCATGTATTGACAGCAGGTCACATTACTAATGTCCCTTTCTGGTAAATGCTAGAAAATAGATTAAAAATCCATTTCTATCTTTCTTTTTCGGCGGGTGCTGAAAGGCGCCTCGTTCACATCGGTGAAGACCGAGTTTTGCTTCCCCGACTCTGCACCTCAGCCTGTAATTTAATGCTATAAAATATATATTTTTTTAACTCGAGAAGTGAAAAGGAAAGACCGATCTGAGCAGCTTATCAAGCAGAGTGTTGTGTTATCACATGCCCACCCAGCCCTGCTCAGGTGTTCCACAGGTCACACCCAGATTATCTGAGGCTAAGCCTACGTGCATGCACAGGAACCCTCTGCACTACACGTTCTCTTTTAGTGTGCACTTCAGACCACGCCTGGCAAGCAAACATGGCATGCATTCCCTCCTTTAAGCCCACTTTCTCTTCTACATATTGTGTTGTGTAACAAGTAAAGAACCTCCCTCTGTAGTTGTACAAAGTCTATCCTCTCTCCCTCTTCTAACTCTAGGCTTGTAAAAACCCGGCCCTGGTTTTTGTAGTCCTGCTTTTAAACACAAAGTTACTTCTTACTTTCTTTTGTCTCATTTGATGAGGACGATTAAAAAAAAGTGACAATAACTTGAAGACCTTGAAGCCTCAGGGCTCTCTCTCTGCTCGGAGGTTGTCAAACTTAGATTTGCATTTATGAGAATTTTTGGGGCCGATATTAGGGAGAAAAAAAAAAATTGCATATAGCCGATATCTTTCTTAGATCTTTAAAGATAAACAGATACAGATAAACAAACACACTTATTTCATTTTGAGATATCTTGGCTGTTATCAAACACTTGTTAAAAAAAGATATATGAAGAAAGTTTGACAAAAGCCTTAATTGGCCAGAAGAAGACTGATCTGAAACATATTTACTAACAAACCTAACTTGAATAAACATCGTTATGTTACATCGGCACATACCAGAGATAAAATGAGCCGACACTGATAGTGAAGTGATACGCTGATTTTTGCAGATATTCAACTGGGGGATGGCTCCAAGGAAAGGGTTGGAAACCACTGTTGTAAAGGTTTGGTTAGTGTAAAAATAAGGTTTTAAACGTTACAGGTGAGTAAATATTTGTATGACTTGTTGCCACTGACAACCTCTTGTTTTTGTGTTGAGCCCTGCAGCTGATTCCGATCGTTTACGAGTGACACATTGCCATGTTGTGACTTCAGATTCCTCTTTTGGTTACTAGAATGCGCAGCTGTTTAAAAAAAAAAAAAAACAGAAGTGAAGTTTATAAAAGGACATATCAAGAAACCCCCCAAAAAACAATGATCCAACAGAAAAGTGGAAACATTACATTAAAAGGATGAGCACTGTACAAAAGGAGAAATCATCTTCGATTGCACCGAGACAGATGAATGGACAGATGAATGGACAGATGAATGGACAGATGAAAAGACAGACAGACGAGCCTGAAAACAGAACGCCTCCAGTCCAGGCTTTCACCAGCACTGAGGCCCAACATTTGTCAAATCAAAGATGCAGCGAGATGAAGCAAAAAATAATCAGCATTTCTAACTACGAATACATTTACAGAAGGTACCAGCCAATAAAAAAAAACCTGAATGGAGTGCCACACCTGGTCCTCTCACCTTTCATGCCAAAGTTTAAGAACAGAACTTAAGTGTCATTTTTTTCCCCCACTTTGCTTCCAGAGTTTCAAAAACCCAGCATTGGCATCGGCCGACGCAGGTGGTAAGTGACTCAGAGGCTGGATTTATTGAAACGCTGTCATCAGAGCGGATTCTCTGAGAAGATAATTCATAATAAGACGTGATGAATAAAAGGGCTCAACTCAAACAAACATTTTGTGAATAGCTCCTCTTTACACTCTTTGCTTTGAGGCACACACAAAAAGGCTGTCTAGCTGATTTCCATTCATGACACCTCTGCCTCCAGACACAGGCGCTCGTATAATGAGCAACGTGGAAGCAGACTTGTCACCAGCTGCCGAATCATCGCACATCATCTGTGCTGATTAAAAGCACTAGTTGGTGATTTTTGTTTTTTTCGGGCTGTCTTCTATTTTCTTAAATCAGTCCAGAGTGTTCGTTCCATCTGATCTTCTTCCTGCTTGACTCTCCAAACATGTTAAACTGGCATGGCCCTCCAGTCTCGCTCGACCCTATCTGAACCCTAAGGTGCCTCTCTCTCTCTCTCTCTCTTATGGGTGCAGGTGTCAGGAAGGTTTGACACAAATCTCAACATGACAGACAGTTTCTTAAGTGAACAAATCAGTTTCCCACACTGCAGATGCTCCCATGCGAGAACCAAAATAAGATCTCGTGATCATGCATATAAAAGCTCACATTTACACACTGCTGCTGCTGCTCATTTTTCAGTGTAGCCAGTTAGTGTATTTTTTTTATAGACAGAAACTTAGCACTCTTCACAGGTTCTGCACCGACCATCTGTTCAGCTGTGACACGCTCCGCAACCAACTCATATGCTGCAGGAGAGTGTAAACAGAGGAGTCTGCAGGAACAAACTCAATCATCATGATGACACTGTTTCTAAAGGACTCCAAATCCTTTCCTCCTGTGAGGCTTTTTTTCCCCCATTCATCATAAAGCACAAATAAAAAACACATTTTGTCTAGGTAATAATTAACTACGACAACTGTGCAATCGATAATGTCTCACTTCCGTCATGGCGCCGGTAGTCTTTGAATTAATTATGTAGCTCAAATGAGTAAAAATTAAACGAGCCCTTGGTGTGTCTGGAATAGTCTAATGAGCTATACCTCAGGTTCAGAGAATAAAGATGATCATTACTCACACTATTGTGCAGACTTTTGATTAGATTTAATTTCCCATCGAATCAGACATGCAGACTGCTTTCATGAAGACTGATGGGGATGTCGTGCAAACACACAATAACATGCACTGCTCTCCTCCTCAGTGGCTTCACTGCTGGATTCAGGTTTAATAAAAAAAAAAGAAGAAATGTATTAGATTGGACAGATGTGTGATTTTCAGAGCCAAATATGAAGCCCTGCTCGTTCTATAAGCAACCAAGTCTGCTCAAGAGGCGACTGGAGAGGTCATGAATAATACTGCTGCGTGAGGAGAGCAGGGGCCACAATCTCCCATGATCCCCTTTTACTCTGGTTCCTACAAGTTCTGAGGTTTCGCATATTAAGAAAACTATAAAATGTGCATTTCTGTTGTGCATTTAGCCTATATCTAAAACTCTATGGCAGGCAGGAAATATGTGTTTCAACTATGAAGCTGTACTAAAAAGAGGAAGGAGAAGAACTTCTCGCAGTGTATATTTCAAAAGTCAAACTTCAGGTTAGAGATTTTAAACTTTTTTTTCCACTGTGCCACTCTCAAGAGCAGGCACTGTAAAGCACTTTTTAAAAAACAAGGTGATAGCAGTGAAGCAGGGATGATGAGACTACATTTTCTTCAGATGGCTCAAAGAACTGAGTTGCACAAGAGCGGAAAAAAAAAGAAGAGAAAGAAGTGAAGAATGTCGAACTTGACCTCTGAATGTAAACTTTTGCAGTCATGGGTCGTGATTTAGAGGCTTCCATAGGGCTAGACTGCAAGATAGAGCTGGACAAATGTGTTGAAACCTCTACTAGAAATCATAAATTTAAACATTGCACCCTGAATTTAAAACCAAATATTGACATAATGGAGTTTATACAACCCTAAGCATTCATTGTTTGTTTGGCTTAGAATGAACCCTGACTTCATTAATTTCGACTGAACTTCTTCTGCACATTGGAAGACACCTTGAACTGGATAGTTAAAGTGTCCAACAAAAAAGAAAAAGAAAAAGAAAAGCGCACATCGTGTTCGCCATTTTTAAATTGTACCTTGACCTAAACCAACTCCCAATAAAAATCTGGTCAAACATATGCGTGCACAGTAACGTCACCTTTCATTACCTCTGTCTCCAGCTGCACTAGTTCCATGGTGGGCCATGGCTCCGCGATCTGTGCGAGAGGCATTTTCGCAGGATTCTCAGTTTTTCTCCCCCTTCCAGCTGCTCAAACGTGTGTGTGTGTGTGTGTGTGTGTGTGTGCTCCAACAGATTCTTATCTCCTCCTGTCAAGTCCAGCTCAGTGAAGAAGAGGAGGAAGAAGAAGGAGAAGAAGAAGAAGCTCCAAAGTCCAGGTGGAGTAGATTCAGCAGCACTTTGCTCCCGACTCAGAGAGGGGAAGACGCGCATGCACACCAATTGTAATCCCTTTGCCTTGACTTCTCCGTCGGTGTGCCACTTGTGCGTATTTGTTTGGGTAGATAATCCAGCAGTAGAAGAAAAAAAACACAAACACACACGCGCACACACACACACACACACACACACACACACACACACTCTCAAAACAAAACGCTTCTCAGTCCAGGGTAAACGCGCGTTGGCTTCTCTTGATCTGGGATCTTTACCAGCAAGAGGAGAGCAGTGCCAAACAGTGTGAAAAAAAAAGCTCCTCCAAACGGGATGTTTGAGCAGAATCTGAAGGAATGAACCAGAGACACCCCCCTGCGTCTTCACAGTCGACGCTGAAGTCTTCCTTCCCCCGTGTGTGTGTGTGTGTTATCTGTGATTTCTCTCCCCCCGGGGCAGAAAAGCGAACACTTCTCTCAGTCCGCCTGCTGCTTTCCCAACAGAGACCTCAGTGTGGCTCTGTAGTACGAGCAGCCTCCAAACTCGAGCTGTTATTGGCAGACTCCAGCAGGATTTCATCCCAAGCCACCCCCCCACTTTTTTTTTTTTTTTTTTTTTCAATTTGTTCCGCCCAGGTCCGATTGCGCACCCATCTGGCGGAGAGAGGAACTGCAACGACGTAATGCAAATCGCTTTTTTCATGAACGAGAGGCTGATTTTCTTTGATGCTTTTTGGTGCAGCAGGTGCAGGATAAGATCCTCTGCGTTCAAGAGAAAAAGCTGTCAGTCCAATCATGAATGGGTGCCAAAGAGCAATGAAAGAGACATCTGGGTTGCAAGATTGTTAAAAAAAAAAAAATGCAGGAATGTGCAACTTTAACACCTTGAGTTGCACGACTTTTGACTAAAAAAAAAAAAAAAAAGCTCTCTTCTCTCAGTGGCATGAAAATAGATTTAGTGCACACTGCCTTTGACCCAACACTTCCTCACACTGACTCCAAATGTTGCATAACAAAGATTGCACAACAATATAAAGGAGAAAGAGAATAAGAGATTGAGTCGTGACCATGTGCTGTTTGATGCTGTCTGGATATTGATGCAGCACTCTTTTCATTGACAACAACCCCTCGTGATGGTCCTTGTAATTTTTCAGTGATACAATACACACACCTCTCCACCCTCGACACAACAATATAAAGGAGAAAGAGAATAAGAGATTGAGTCGTGACCATGTGCTGTTTGATGCTGTCTGGATATTGATGCAGCACTCTTTTCATTGACAACAACCCCTCGTGATGGTCCTTGTAATTTTTCAGTGATACAACACACACACCTCTCCACCCTCGACACTTCTCGGCTTCATTCACTGCAGAGTGGATTTTCACTCGGCTATAGCTATGGTTACTATTGGCAACTGGAGAGCATATCAATGCTTGCCTTGACCGTGGATGAAGCTGTTGAATTTTGGTTCAAATGAAGATGGCCTTTCACAGAAAAACATAAAAGAGACTTAATGGGATACATGCAGCATGTTATGAGGTGAAATGTCTTTTGATTGATGTTTTATCCAACTATTGTGCATCAAAATTCACATTAAGAACACAGATTTGAACTTGCAGAGGAGACAAATCCTCCCTGATGTGAATGCATGCTCTGGTGGCTTTTGATTCAAATTCAGTCATTCTTGCTTCATATTTAGAAGAATCTGTTTGGCTTTAGTTAAAAAAAAAAAAGGTCTGTGAATGTGTGAAAGCATTTCAATTATTAATGCTTCCAGTTATAAAGTCTGCAAAGCTTGAATTTTAAAACAATGGAAAATGCTTCAGTAAAAATATTATGCATGTAAAATAAAATTTAGAAAATGGCAAAAGCTGCAGATCTCCAGTGTGAAGCATGCAGATTAGAATAGTCAATAGCGATTATAGAGTCTGGTGGGGGCCCAAGGCAAAATCAATTGGGTGGCCCTGCATCCAGCGTTCATCACCATCATGTCTGCAGGTGTCCCAACGCATTCTCCTCTTTCTCTTTTTATCTGTCTTTTCTCCTGTAGACAGATACTTCCTCTTCATCTGTCTTTGTTGACTTTCATTGAGGAACTTTGGCTTTCACAACTATAATGCATTACAACGACGACGAGAGTGAGTGCTGTCAGATTGGGGCCCCCTAAGGGAGGTTTCCTACTGTCGTTGCAAAATGTGCAAATTTAGGGACACTGCTTTTGGTTTAAGTTTGTCAGCCATCAAGTAGCCCCTTACTGGTCTGGGGTAACCAAGCAGTTCCCTGCCCTGCCTGTTCACATTAAGCAGCTGCTCTGAGAATAATGGAGACGTGGTTTACTTGTCTGTTCACTCCAGAAACACTGAAACATTCCTTCATGTCCAAGCATTATGCTCCACTTTGAGAGGGCGCTACTTGTGCACAATGAAACGCAACAATGTATAATAATAATACTTGTTTGTTTGCATGCTTTCTTTCCGCACTTCATGGAAGCAGAAGGAAGTCAATAGAGAGAGAGAGAAAAAGTGCTTTTATGGTCCATTTATTTTCTGACAAATCCAAAGCACTAAAGGGTGGTCAGAAGGTGTACGTACAGTAAGGGGACGTCATCCATCATACGCGTGCTGTACGTAAGATTCAAAGTCACTCCCCCACAAAGCCCACATTAACCCGTCAATCTGTCTTGATGATTGATAAGCTGCTGCTCATAGCACCTCATCAGGCTAGATTGGCTTTTTTTATTTAGTGCAGCCGTGCAATACACCTCCTCTCCTCTCCCTCTCCTCTCCTCTCCTCTCCTCTCCCTCCTCTCCTCTCCTCTCCTCTCCTCTCCTCTCCTCCCCTCCTCTCCTCTCCTCCCATCACCATTATGTCAAGGACACTTCTGAACATTTGTATCTGTTATAGCTGCTGTTGTCCAAAATGATGAATTTGAGACACTCAGTTTGATCTTGTGGTGAAAGTGAAAGTTGTAATAAAGACAGTATGAATAAAAAGAAGACGATGGTCTTTCATCCTGCCTCTCTAAGAAAAATAAAAGTCAATACTGTGTTAGAAAAGGGTCACATGTAGCCAGAAGGAGCCCACTTCCTGTAAACTACAGACAACCTTTCAAAAGGACAGAGATATTGATTGACATGTTTTCTGTTAGATGTGATGTGTGCGTCTCCTCCGACTGCAGGGGATCTCATCCTTCTTCTCTTCATGCTGCTTCAGTGACATCACAGGTTGACAGCGCCGATGACTCAGAGGTGTCTCCCGTCCAGTGACTCCAGGGACACCCTCCCCCCCCCCTCCTTCATCCCCAGAACAAGAGGCATCATGGGTAATGTGACTCAGTCCATGTGCACTGAAGCAAGAGTTCAATCCGGGGCTCGTCGGTGTATCGATGCAGACGAGTGTTTGCAGAAGAAGAACTGTACGGCAGAGCACGTCCCTAAAACCACACTCACTGTTGTCATATTTTATTTCCAGTGGAGTAGAGAGGCAGAGCGATGTTGAGTACTCACTTGGAGAAACAATGAATCATACATTATGTAGTTTCCTCCTATCAGCAGTAAACAGTTGTATTAGAATGCAAATACATGCACGCTCAAACTGTGAAGTGGCAGCTGCTCCTGAAACAGCACCTCGGAAAATTCAACTGTACTGCTCCTCTCTGATCATGTTGCTCCTTTAATGTCTTTGTGTTCACTTTAGACATTTTTGTTTTTAATGTTTCCTGATTTCTGCTCTGGGACTTGGATGTTTACTGTATGTCCGTACTTTAGTTATTCCTGAATCTGTTAACAGCGCTCACTAGGATAACGTAAGATAGATAAGATATGGGCGGCTGTGGCTCAGAGGTAGAGTCGGTCTGTCGTCTCTCAACCTGGAAGGTCGGGGGTTCGATCCCCAGCTCCTGCATCCACATGTCCGATGTGTCCTTTGGCAAGACACTTAACCCCAAGTTTCTCCCACTTGCTTTGGCGGCCAGTTTATAAATGTGTATGAATGGGATTAATTAATACTGATCCATCAGTGTGTGAATGTGTCGGTGTGACCTGCGGTGTAAAAAGCGATTTGAGTATGCAGAAGACTGGAAAAGCGCTACACAAGCTCAAGTCCATTTACAATAAGATGCACTTTATTGTTCCCCCCATCAGGGGAAATTCACTTGTTAAAACAACTCAAAGTAAATGAATCAAGTGATGGACGAAAAATGCAAAAACCACTGGTACTGACCGATACCGAGTACCTTCTGATACCAGCGGCATTGAAAATACATATTGATGTAAAAGACTTGTTGCTAGCTGTGACTAGCATCATGCTCTCTGCTAATAAATCACTGTTGTTATTTTCTTTAGTTACATTAGGATTTATCTAAAACTGGCTGAATTAGGACCAGAATAATAAATTGTGGTAGAGACCCAAAACTTCCTTTAGGCAATATCAAAACAGCATTACCAGGAGCAATGTAAGTACTGGTCCCATTACTGATACCAGTGTATCTGTGCCAGCCTGATATCAGTATCAGATTTACAATAATTCCTTTTTAATATGAGCCATCTTCAAAGTGTGTGTATGTTGGAATTACAGAACGATTTAGCTAAAGAGTCTTTGATAGCGTATATGAGATTGGTATTTTGGTTGTATGTTTCTCTCTTGACTCTGCTCCATTACACGGACGAGTAAACCTGAATTACATCTGAAAGAGGATTATGATAGATTTGATGTAAAATGTTGATTTAATCCAGGGGATTCATCTGTTGATGCAACACGAGCCCTAGGTAGTGACCCCACTTGAAGACAAGAGCGGTCCAGCATTAAAGCCGAACACTGAATATATAACCACCAGCCCTACAGTAAATACCACAGTCTTAATGGACATGGTATTATCCGTTACAACTCATTATATGAAGCAGGATTTTATCTCTGTACAGTTGATTTTGCTATACATTTAATGATGTGGGTGTGTCGGGTTTGCACAAGACTAAGAGTCCAAACCTTTGCTGATAATTAACTGAGCTCACTGAGCAAACGTCTGCAGTGCAAGGAGCACCATCATCAGTGCGGCTACAGCAAAGAGCAAATTAATTAGCCGCTCGATAGTGCAGCACAGGTGATTATCAGATCCCTCCTGACTGAATATAGCAGGAGGAGAAGACGGCAGTTCAAAAGTAGCTCTGGAACAAGTAGCACCACAGAATCATCATTTATCACAGCAGTGGCTGATGGGACGGTGTGGTTGCAGAAGGACTGGGAAGGGGATGCTGATTGGTCAAGCAGTAAAGGGAGCTAGGGGAAAGAGAGAGGGCCAGTGTGGCTTTACATCATTGGCTTTTAGGAACTGTTTTTCTCAGTCCTGTTGTTTTCCTTCTCTACATGTTGCAGGTACAGAGCGTGCTGACTCCACAATGTGACGGCTGTGTGTGTAATGTCAAGCTTAAACAGCGTGTTGAGACTTGATTTTGTGTCTCTGGTATTCGGGATGGGCAGAGAACAGGCGGGCTGCGCACAGAGAAAAAAAACCACGTTTGAGATCAAGTTCAATACAAAACAAGATACGGTAAGACAGCGGAGTGTTTTTGAAACATTTTAGAGAACAGGAAGAGAGTTTTTTGTTGTTGAGGCTGGGAACTTAAAATAAGGTGCAAACAGTTGATGAGTAACTTGCGATAGAAAGTTCTGCTGTACAGAGTCAAAATGTGTGCAGTATATTGAACGAGATGATGGGAGAGTGCTGCAGGCTTTGAACAAGAATGAACAAGAATTTTTTGCAATCCAATTGGTTTTCCCATTATCGAAGATTTAGCATTCATCCGTCAGTCCGGTAAACTGATGCTTTTAATCTGTGCTTAGTTATTTTCCTCTCACTTCACGCATAGAGCATCTTGACTCAACAGGAGATCAAATGTGACTCACAATTTATAATCACCAAAAACCCTTCCACACTTTTTCATATTTGAGAGCCTAGAACAAATGATCCACAGTGGGGTTTTTTTTGTTGCTGTTTTAATTTGTTGCTTTTACTTTGAAGGGCACTTACCCTTGATCCATGACAGCACCATTAATGTTTCATCTTTTATTTGCAGAGTTTGAAGCTTTCAAAAATGGGGAACTATCTCAAATGAACTGTGTTCTGCAGTAGCTCAAATGTAGGGGACTTGAGTAAGGAATTAGAGGCCACTACTTCAAGTCCTGCTGCAGACTAAAATTATGGAAGTTGGTCTGGTAGCTGGAGAGGTGCCAGGGCACTTCCTGAGTACTGCAGAGTAGAGGTGCCCTTGAACAAGGCACTGACTGAACCCCCTACAGCTCTGGCATGCTCCCTGTGTAGCAGCCTCACTCTGACGTCTCTCCACTAATGCAGGTCCACACTTCCTGTTTGTGCATGTGTGTATTTCGGGCCTATGTGTGTGATCCAGAATTTCCCTCAGGGATTAATAAAGTATATAAAAATACAAAAAATAATGTAAAAGAGAAATTGCATGACTAGATTTTTTTGTGCAGCCCATCAGGTTTTAAAAAAAAACAACATCTTTATGAAGCATATCGTCCTTACATGTTGGGACTATTTGCCATTTTGCCCGCTGCCATATAAATCTGACTGTTACCCCCCTGCCTATGAGTCTCTCTCTTGATTCAAAGAGGATAACAGCAGGGGGTGCCAGATATCAGAGGGCAGCTCTTTTATAACCCAGGGCCTTTTCACCAGGCGTTGACCTTTACTTCTAAAGAGACATCCAGCAGCCTGATTTGTCACGTACTGTGACGCTGACAATGATTTCCTCGGGCAGCTCACAGGCACAGGTTATATGATTCATTCACAGAATCCCTTAAGGTGCTATGGACTTAACTGAAGGTGACATTTCCATCAGCTATATGGACAAACATCAGACGCTCACATGGAGCCGACCAGTCTAAGTCTCTTTCAAACAGCAAACGTGTAATATTGAACTTGATCAAGTTAATCATTCAATATAAAAGGAACTTTGATCTCCAAAGCCAAAGATTGCTTCACTGCAGTTTTTGCTGATATGGGAAATATATAACGTTGAGTTAAGCAGTGATTCAATAAGAAGAATTCATTTTCTCACTTTTAGAGCAACAAAAAAAAAAAGAAAAACGCAGATATCCAATATATAGTTTTCACTTTAGCAAATAAACTGCCTGATGAATGTGTGAATTATTCATCATAAGCTCCTCAAGTTCCTGGAAATATTCGTTGATCATGTGAATAATTTAGCTGGCAGAAATCGCCTCATGTTGGAAACGTCGCTGTTTAGTCTACTCTAAATTTAAAAACACAGTTCAAAGGCTAAAATAGGAAACATTTCCGGGAAAAAATTCCTTGGAGAGCAGCCTCACCAGAGGACTCAGAAAGAGGATTAAGTCTGCTTGAATGTTGTGGGACTGTAAGTTGTTTTTATCCCTTTAAATTCCTCAAACTCAAAGGGAAGCCTTGAACAAAAATGTGTGTTTTGTATTCTGCAATAATTGTTAAGAACAATAAAAGACAATTGTTTATTTTCCTGTTTGCAACCTCAACTCTCAGAAAGGCCCCCCAGAGTTAATCATGATCCTTCTTCTGACCTATTACAAGATTACTGTTTAGGATTACCTGCTGTACAGGTGCTGCTCTTATTGAGCCACATGCTTGCTCTGCAGTCGCGCCTTGTGTCGTGACGTAATGGCGCGTGGAAGTCAAACTATGAGGGAAGTTATGAAGTATTAAAGCTACAGCCACCTTGCTCTCACACACTCGTACTATTCCTCCAGGTAAGAAGGAGGGGCAGGAGAGGTGAAGGGGGGGAAGGAGGGAGGGGTCTTTTGCTCCAGGTCGAAGCCTGACAGTTCCGCACTATTGGCTGTCAGCGGGGGGGGGGGCTACTCTCTTACCTGCCGTACCTGTACGAAGGAGTGCCAGTCGTCATCGTCCGACTCCGAGTCAGGATACACCTTTTCTTCCTCCTGCAGCCCGGAGAGGTAGAAGTCGGCCAGGAAGGCTGGGAGCTGAACCAGCGACTGCAGCAGGACACCGAGCATGGAGCCTATCACGTCGTGGAGCGAGGAGCGAGTCAGCGAGTGGCTCCAAGGTGAGGAACATAGTGTGTGGGGTTGTTGTTGTTGTGTGTCTGTGTGTGTGTTTTTTTTTTACACGCCCTGATCGCCTCACAGTTTAGGCTACTTTTGGCTCGGACGGTGTCGTCAGAAATAGTCACAAATCCTCTTGGAAGTGAAAGGTGGAGGAGGAGGAGGTGGAGGAGGTGGAATGAGGAAGTGGCCTGAGCTGAGAAAGGAGCCACAACAAGTCCTGTTCTGATCAAGGTGCTGGCTTACCTTCAGAAACAGTTCATGGCTGCTTTATAACCTACTAAGAAGGTGTTGCGTTCACTGATCACTGACCCTCTTTAACCCAGACATGTTCAATGCATTCTTTAAACTGCATGGATTATTCTGTTTAAAGGGAAAATGTATTAATAGGCTATAACAGTGTTGGCCTACAGTACAAGCACATGATTACATTTACTGGAAAGCTTATTTGTGCTACTGTTCCACTTTGAATGAATTGTATTAAGGCCCATTTATAATTAGCCTTCCTTTATTCAAAAACTCTATAAATAAATCTGCCTAAAACATTTGATTTGCATGTTTAATTTGAGATTTAGGATCACATTAAATCACCCAACAGTAACCTTTATGATATAGCTAATGTTACCTCAACTTTACCAGCTACAAAAGAACCACTAAGTATAATTATGATCCAGTAGTATGACAATACAACACTGCCTGGTAATTAGGTTACTTTTGATGATGTAATTGCGATTTATTGTACTCGCATGAAACGCTGACGGCAGAATTTGTATTGTCATGTTTTTGTTGTAAGATTGTAAGTGTTTTCAAAAAATATCCAAGTCTTCCAAAACACGCCACAACATGTAAAACCACATTTATGACAGTGTATTGTGCTCCAATGTGCTTTTATTTTGAAGGGACCCAGTTGCCAAGACTTCACTGCTTTTAGAAAAGTACACAGAGAAGAGATTCAACAATCACACTGTTTTAAATGTTGTCAGTGTCCCCTGTTAATAAAACCATCATGCAAATCACATTTCAATGACACATTTATTCAAATCTTATCGTCCAACATGTATTCAAGCAGACGTCTTTGTTTTTATGTTACGGCTGCTTAACTTACCTGCAGCTCTACTGTGAGTGCATGCATGTCTCAGCCTGCACATGCATGCGGCTTTCTGTCTATACGACGTTACCATTTCTTCACTATGTGCATGGGAAAGTCTATATTTTTTTTTACATTTTTGTGTTTCTCTGCCAGGTCTGGACGCCCCCCTGCATCAATACCAGGTGTCTGAGTGGCGTTTGTCAGGTATGGATCTGCTCCAACTGACCTCCAAGGACCTGGAGAAGTTGGGAGTGTTCAAGATCGGACACCAGGAGCTGATCCTGGAGGCTGTGGAGAAACTGTGCTCTCTGGTGAGGCAGGAAGCGGATGCACGTGTGTTTGTGTGTAAGTGTGTATCCATGGCAGCGCTTTGTGTATCCAAGGCTGCGCGTGTGTATGTTGTGGCTGAGAGATGTACTCTTGGTTATTTACCGATCAGTCAGCTTCTTGTCTGGCTCTGGTGTCATGTGTGTGTTTTGATATTTTGTAGCACATGCTGTTTTAAGACCCTGCTCCTTTTTGCACAGGGGAACCAGCACTTCTTCTTCTTCTTCTTCTGTTTTTTTTTTTATGTGTGCAAAACCTCACAAGTCCTGATATTCTGAGCCGTTTTTCAACATGCAAGTTTGACTTCATTGCTCCACTTTGCACTTTAGTGTTTAAATATGAAAAACCCCCACATTCCTGCATATCATAGTCAAATAGTTCCATTTTTTGTTGTTGCTAAATCAGAGGACGCTTCACGCTCCAGCTACGACCAAATCAGATTTAGAACAAACACGCTTTTGCCTAATCCTCTACATGCAAATATCTGTGAAAATTTGTACACTTCTGCCACTTCTTTGTTTCTTGAGCTTTTTTTTTCTGTCCCTCCGCTGCCTAATTAAATTTCCTCCCTGTCCAAAATTTTTAAGAGGGAGTTTCAGGACACTTAAATAGTCGCGTTGGTGTGTGTGTGTGTGTGTGTGGGGGGGGGTGTTTTTTGTGTCTCCAGAATGCCTTTTGTTTCATTGGAAGAACTAATTGAGCCAGGCAAAGCTCCAGCTCTGGTGGTGTAACAGTCTTTGAACGCCGAGGAAAAAGCTCGAGCAGCTTAAACGGGCACGTTGTGGAATAGTTGTAATACGGTTTTAAAAAGTAATTAACAGTTCAAATCAAAGTCTCTGTGAATGAGTGCGAATCAGACTCCTCCTGTTTAAACTTAAGTTGGGGCGCGCTTGGCTGAAATCACAAAATTGGAGGAGTTTAGATCCATTTCAAGGATTTGCAGATTCAATTTTCAGCTTGTGTGCATGCGTGTGTGTTTGTGTGTTTGTGTTTTTATGTGCGTGTGTGTGCATGCAAATCTTGTCTTAATGCTGTGTGAAGTGCTAACACAGGGCTCATTCATAAAAAAAAACAAACCATCAGACGCTCACATGGAGCAGACCAAACACTCGGTCAAGTGCTCTGTTACATAATTCAACAGGTACAAAGTGGACAAGGTCATGAAAAATGCATGTCCACTTGTTGACACAGGATTGTTCCGGGCTGGTTTATGATAAACAACAAAGCCTCTCGGGCCACTGAGGAGTGGGTTTGACAATAAGTGACGGCTTCTATTGTCACTGCGGATGAGGGAGAAGACGCTCCGTCTAATCACAGGAGGAGCGTTTTATTTTAAGCAAAATTTTGATGTGGCATCTCTGGCTGAATTGTGTTCAAGTGACTGAGAGGTGTTTCTGATGTAAGGCTTACGTAAATATTACAAAATCAAACAAAACTTCTAATCGTATGAAGAAACAACAGCCTTCAAAATAAGTTAAATTAACAACTCAATAACACAGTTATGACTAAATCTGATTAATTTAACCTCGAACTGTTTCTGGATATTAAACTTAAAAAATCAACATTGTGTTGTAACATGATGGGGGATATGTTCTGTTTAAATTGTGGCATATGTCTTGGAGGGGCTATTATGAGCAGTGTGACACATCAGCTGATTTGTCGCAATGATTTTTACAACCTTATTTACAAACGAGATTAACTTTAATGCCCCAGTGGGAAATTTTTGCTTGGACTTCATGGTGCTCTGATGGCACGACAAAATCTCAAAATTCATTCATTCATCAGTAAAACGTGTGAGTTAAATAATCATTCATTACATACAGTATAATGACTAAATCCATGAACACCTGCAGGTATAGCTACACGATTACACACACAGCTTACAGTTTAGGTGGTGTTGATGACTTTGATGGACAGATATTTGCTGGATTTTCCATTTTTTTATGGTGTATTTTTTTTTTTTTAAGCCTTTATTTAGAGACAGGACAGAGGAAAGTGTCAGAAATGGGGGAGATAGAGAGAGAGGGGAATGACATGCAGGACTGGAACCCCGGCCTCCGTACATGGGGATCATGCACTAACCACTAGGCTAACTGTGCCCCCTGGATTTAAAAAAAAAATGAATCCAAAGATGAACAGATGTGTGTCTAAATTTCAATATTTTTATAAGGCTGGACAATTAATGAAGTTGTAATTACTATCATGATAGAAGACGGCATCGTGCATAACAGCATTAGAATATCTCATCAGATATCTCAGCAGGAGCCTTAACGAGTCACTTGTGTGCTTCTAGACGTACGGCATGGGAGGGGAGAACCTGCGCAGCCTCACCGAGAAGCTGCGCGCCGTGGCCCACACCCTCCAAATGGGCATCCAGAGCAGCTGGCGCCGCAACAGCTACGACGGAGGCAGCACGGTGAGGCTGCCCGCGGGCGTCCTGCAGGTCGTGGTGGAGCTCATCACCTCTGCCAAAGGACTCTTCTCTCTGCTCAACAGGTCCGTAAAGAGGAGAGTTATCTAACCGTTATATATACACACAGTACTTCAAATTCTATTTTGTCCCTGCAGTTATTTTCAACTCTGAAAATGCTCTCTGGTGTCTCTCACAAAAATAGTGCTGGCTGTAGTTCCTGTTGCTGCAGGTTTTATGTAAAAAAAGGATTACTGTAGGTGAAAGTCGTGCATTCTTTTACAGGGGAATGTTCATCAAATTGATTTACATTGCACATTTAAAACAACCGCTGAGCAAAGTGCTGCACGAGGCACTAATGAAACAATACATAAAAACCAGAACAATGAAAAGGACCAATCAAAGCACAGAGAGAGAAACAAACAAAACTAAAAGCAGGAAATACAGTTTACAAGCTGCCTTTAGATGCAGATAAAATCAAGGAGGGGGAGCTGTTCCTCAGTCTTTGGGCCTCCACTGCAGACATGTGGTCACCACCTAATTTTCAGATTTGAGCCAAGGACTGTGAGGGTGCCCCTGTCAGGAGATTTGAGGGACCTGGAGGTGGTGAAAGAGCTCAAGAGGCTATTCTATGGGCTTCAAAAACAAACCTTAACATCTATATTAAAGGCCAGTGAAGAGAGGCTTAAACAGGGCTGATATTATCCCTCTTCCTCAAACCTGTCAGAAGTCTGGCTGCAGCGTTATGAACCAGTTTCAGGCAGATCAGCGACAACTGGCTGATTCCACCAAATGCGATAATGTATGAACCAGATTTTCAAAGTCTTTGAACAAGAGGATTGGTTATAATTTTGGAAATGGTTCAAAGCTTTCACTTGGTGTTTCTATCTTTAAACAAGCAATGTGAATGTAGCTCGTTTCATGTCACCATTCCAAGTTTAATTTCATTTTCTATTCCCTCGTCTTTCCAGGTATCAGTTTTCCCAGCTCAGTGGATACACCTCCAGTAAGAGCATCCTCAACTACTGCAGAGAACTGGGAGAAATCGTCCACAAGGTTGGTCCATTAAAGCTTTAATTAAAGAGGACATGTTATACCTCTTTTCCACCTTTTCAAACAGTCCCCCTGTGGTCTAAATGAAACATCTGTGCTGTGCTTTGGTCAGAATATAACATGAATCAAGCACCAGAGGAGGTTTGTGACCCTGTATAAACCAGCTCTCTCAGAACGCTCCGTTTTGGTGTGTGTATCTCTTTAAATACAGTGAGCCCCCCCCTGAGTGTTCCCGTTAGACACTCCTCTGTGGTGAGAATAAAAATGGTGGACCTGCGCAAACGTTTTGCACTAGGCTGGGGGTGGAGTCCATGGGTGGAGATACCAGGGGAGGGGAGTTTTTTAATTTTTAATTTTTTACCAGAATCCCACTGTGATGTCACAAGGAGAGAAAATTTGAAACGGAGCATTTTTCTCTGTGTTGTAAGACTTATGCAGACCACAAACAAAGGACTGGATGGGTTTGTTTCACATTTTAGACACTCAGGTTACCCAAATATATGTTCATGATACGCTTTAAGGTTTTTCTTTCACATACAATTTGAATGTACATACAACTCCCAGGACAGTGACTGTCCATTCGGTCTTGTATGTGTTTTGTAGTTTTACTGCGCATATGTTCATGAAAGCATGAAAGCATGTTTGATCTTAACAGGAACTAGAAACAAGTGGACACATGTTTCTTGCACACAAAAACCCCATAGAGGAACAACAACTTGTTTTGTGGTTGGCTGTTGCTTTCCCCTCAAAGTGCAGCTAGTAAGAAGAAACAAAACTGAAGCACAACTCCCTTTTCCTCAGCTTAACTTGAGTAATGCATTCTTTATCTTTACATTCTTGGAATATTTGAAAGCGGCTGTACCTTGAAGAAGCGGGAGGTTGAAAGGATTGGCGTAAGAGGAGGGGCCTGCATTTTGTTTGTGTTTTGCTTCTTCGTTGTGGTAGGAAAAGGTTGAAATAAATAAGGGGGAAGGAAGGGATATTCAAATCTGGGTGACTGTATCAGAAGTGCTCACAGGTAGCCGAGAGAGACAGGCCTGGATATGTCAGTTCCCCGGGGGAGGGAGGGAGGGAAGGAGTCAAAAGGGGGAAGGCAGAAAAAGAAGGAGGAGACTGAGGGGAGGGATTGCACTCGACTGTTAAATGACTTTTAGCTCCTGAGGCCGCACATGTCGCTGACTGAACAGCAGGGAGCAACAGGCAGAGAGAGAGACACTTGGCTTAGAGAGGACGCCGTATAGTGTCATGAGAGATAAAATGTTGTGACAGAAGTGTAGAGAAAAGAAGATAGAGCAGCAGAATGAGAGATAATTAGAGAGAGGTAAGGAAGCAGAGGAGCCGTGGGTATAAGAGGAGGCTCAGTTTATATATATAGACCCACTATAGCCGGCTCTGGACTCCTGCCAGGCACGACAGGTACAGCTTTAACCTCTCTGATTGGATAATTCTTCCACAAGGTGATGTAATGCCTTTGCTGCTTTCTTGGCCCTTCACATCATTTTGTGACATTTTTAACTTTTAGTCATTGAAATGAAGTCTTCTTGTAATGCTCTGTTTTCTTTAAGTTGAGGATTTTAACTTAAACGTAATATGATTCTGAACCATGTAGTATAGCAGTGTTTCCTGGTTAGAAATTAAAAAAGTGGAACCGTAACAAGCCCACAGGACTTTTGCATATCAAATAAGAGTTGCGGTTTTTTGTGTTGATGTATAGTAACAGTGGCATTAGTCGTATTGGGGATCGTATTGTGAGGAAGGAAGTATGGATTTCAGAGTCTCATTGAGCATGTTGCGTCGATAGGATGTTTTTGCTCCTGTGAAGTGAATCACATTTGGCTGTTGTTTTCATTCATGGTCGGCTCTATATTGATGTAAAGTGTGGCAGTGAGTTAGTCATTATAAGTGAAAGCTTTCTCTGCTTCTGTCGGTTGGTCATCGCTTGGTAACGTCTGGCTATTGTTTAGTCAATTCCTGTTTTTGTGTATTCACGTGTGTTCGCACATGCAGGTGTTTTACAGACAGTAAGTCCATGAAGAAGTAGTTAGTGGTGTGAACATTTTGTTTGGAGAGTTCAGGAGTGATGTGCACATTAACGTTTGTCTTATTGGCTTGTGAATGAAGAAGTACCCCTCCAATTAAAGTGTGATTAAAAAAAAATACTTTTTTTCTGAGGACAGCTATGAACTACTTATCCTGTATGGATGAAATGTTATTATTGTTGTTTGGCCTGAATCAGTTTATGGAAGCAGTGGTTCTCAACTGGTGGGTTGGGACACCAAAGTGGGTCACTGAGTCGTTTTCAGTGGGTCGCCAATGTGTGTCAAAAATCTTCGAAGCGCTTACATACTGGAAATTTGGGTCCTATTTTTCAGAGTTGATGGTTTGTCGCGTCCTGAGGCTTGTCCAGTTGATTATCACTGTACTAAAGCAGGGGTTCCCAAAGTGGGGGTTAATGTTGAACTGCTTTACACCAACAAAACTTAGCCTTAACATATACGTGTGCGAATTAAACATTGTCAGCTAGCTCTGTGTAACATACACTTTTAACTAGCACTGAACTGTTGTTGGCTTTTGTTTTGACACATGATACATTTACCTGTTATAAGTTATTCTTTGTCACTCTTGAAAACTATAATTATAAGTGACAGTCACAAACAATATATTTGCCTTGTTATCTACTGTTTTAGAGGAAAAGGAACAAGCTAATTTTGTGGGGCTAATAAGGACGAACAAGTATTGGATCAGCCCAATGGCAGGCTAATACCTGATACTGCATTTTAGGCTGTATTGACATTGGCATTGGAGAAACATGACTATTTGAAACAGTTGGACTTTCACTTACTTTACTCAAAAAAAACGTTTGTAATGAAGTGATTCCTTTTACATAATAGTATGGTGTAGATAATCCCTGCATTCAGTGTAGGCAGGTGTTATTAAACACACTTTGGAGGTGAGCTAAAGGTCATCGTTGGACATCTGAGAAGCACCTGTTTAACAGACAAGAGAAAACATGAAATCTCACATGTGTCAGGACTCATCTGTCAGTTCAAGTGTCATCATAGCATTATTAACCTGCAGGCAGAGGCGTGAGGAGAATGCAAAGAAGAATGTTTTTTTTTCTATACCTTCGCAACGTAGCATTAATGATTGCCCTCTAGAAGACTGTGTCGTAGTTTATTAACGTTAGCTCCCTGCAAGCTGATCCCAGTGCAATGACATGCTGTCAGGAGGCTTCATCATGACATCTGTTTCTGGAAAACTGCCTGCAACAGAAGCTACAAAACATCCTTCACATGAAAAAAGAAAAAGAAAAAAAGCACTTTTTATTTCCTGGTAATCTGTGTGCTTGAGCGCTTTTGTGTGTCTTCGAGCCCCCTTAAGGGCCCTCAAGGTCAGCAGTCAGCTGGTGTTGTTGGGATACACTGCACTGAGATACACTGGAGTTGCCAAGTCTCAGTTTCTCTCTCCAGAGCGGGGGGAGAGAGACAGAAAGAGGGCCTTGTTAACTGTGAAATAAGATTTTTGAGGGCCGAAATTAATTTGCAAGGGGCTTTGGTAGCGTGGTTAGTGCGCGCATGTACGGAGGCTTTAATCCTCCAAGCGGGCGGCTCGGATTCAAATCCAACCTGTGGCTCCTTTCTTGCATGTCACTTCCCCACTCTCTCTCTCCCCCCAATTACCGACTCTATCCACTGTCCTATCAATTAAGGCATAAAAAAGCTTAAAATAAACCTTAAAAAAAGAAATAATGTGGCAGCATTACATCGAGGTATTTGAGTTAAATAATGATTTTTTTAACCACTTTTAAAAAATGGTTTGAATGTTTAAGGATTGACGAATACGGAGCCACTGAGACAATGTCATGACGGTTTTTCCAAAGCAGACATTTTTGTTATCCAATGAAATTCTATGACCAAAGACATTATCATGAAAAACAAGCTCCTTAAAACAGCTCTATTATTCCTCAAAAGCAATGACAAGCATCCCGTTGCTTTTAGAGGACTGATTAAAAAGCTCCGGATACCGAAACGGAGAAAAGACCTGAGTGTCATAACTTATTTTAATCATGGGGCCAAAAAAGACAGAATAAAGGAAATTCAGAGATCAGTGGAGCGGTCAGAAAAAGAACATAACAGGGGTAATAAGATGTAGATGGTCGAGGTTGGAAACAGGTGTAAAAAGAGATCTAACGTCAAGATGTCTCACAGTCTTTTTATAGCACGTCTCTGACCTGGTGATGGCAAATGGAAGATATCTGCTGGGGAAGTCCAAGTTTGTAAACAGAGACAGATGGAACATGTTTGGGCTTGACTCAACAAGGCTTTTATTTTGAAAGGCTTTAGTACTTTGTACTAGAAACTTAAGTAACAGAGGACAACTAAGAGGAAAGGAAATAGCCTCAATCTGTCCAATTGTATTTCTCTAACAGTCTGTGTTAGCTTATGCCGGTACATTTATGTATATCCACACCGATGCAGAGTTTTTGTGTATGTGTGTACATGCATGCGTGTGTCCTCTTGTTGTCCGCTTTTCTTTAGGAACGTTACTCCCACATAATAGCTTCTATTGTTTCCACGACAACAATAGAGAGAAAAGCTTTCAGGCACAGAGCACTGCTGTAAAGTTGGCTCACCACCTGATCAAGCCACACTCACACAAGACGCAGAACCAGCCTTCTTATCAAAACGAATAGATGCATGTTACTGTGAATTATACAGAGAGGCAATGCATGAATGCTTTTATTCGATTTTTTTTTTTTTTGACAATGCTGCAAATCAGTGTTGTCATTTAATATGAGGGGGAAAAGATTGTGCAGCTCATTCTGCATGGGATTGCCGACCATTTATTGATATTGGCTAATATTTAACTCCAGTTGCTGTAATAAGGTAGAGGAAAAGGTCGCTCTTGAATGTTTGTCTGTGGTTTGAACTTTAGTGCACAGTACTGCTCATATGGTCCATACAATGAAGGTCGGTAATGATAGTGGTGATATGTTGTTGCACCACAAGACTCTTGTTTGGCCAACTGAAAGGCCAGAGCTAAATTGGTTTGAATGTTATGTAAGTTTTTGTTTTTTTTAACCTCTTTTTTCTGCTTTAAGCGATGGAGAACTGGAAAGTGTTTCATCTCAGACTAACCCTATTTTTTGATATGACGGATAAGAACAAGTTTCAAAACCTGAAGAGTTTGTTAAAAGAATGAAAGCGCTTGTTTTGAAAGCGAAATGTTTTTGGTAAATGTCCTATTTTAGAGAGAAATCAATAGAAGGGCAAGGAAGTGGAGCGTGAACATGCTGGAGGCTGTTTGGGGACTGAACACGTCTGTCCTACTATTCCTCTCCTCTTCTCCTGTTGCCCCTTTGCTGCTCATGTGTCTTTGCCTCAGCAAGGAAACACTGCAACCTCTTGGAATAAGTATCACATGATGCGCTCGTATCTATGAATGTGTGCACTTTTTACTGAGACTTTAACAGTAATTTGGAATGTGGCAAGATATTTTCTGAATAAGCAATTTTAGATTTTAGATTTTTAGCAGATTGACTTACAGTATGTCTGACAGTGATTATGTAGAACTGTTCGTCTGTGCCCTGCGGTGCTCTGTTTTCACCTCTACCCCCCCCCCCCTCCCAGTTTCAGGGCAGAAGTGACCCTGTGTAGCCCACCGCACATTCATGTCTCGCTTCCTGTTCCAGTAGAGTCAAAAAGACAAGTAGGGCGACTGGTTTTGTCGTGGGAAAGTACCCAGAGATGTGGCTTAAAATGCAACAGAAAAAGCACAGCTGTGAATTTTGTTGTATTTCTACCGTATGTCTCGAAAGCTAACGGTGAGAAACTGGAAAGGAAAGGTGTTACCAATGAGGCAGAAGTGATGGTGTGTGGGAGGAAGTGGCAACAACACTTGTACCTCAGCTTACATTTAAACTTTCACTTGCAGAGCAGACTTTAAACATACATCTGGTCAACATTTTTAACACTTGCTTAACTAGCTTATCGTGCAGTTTACCTGGCAGTAAGCTAATTCATTTGTCAGGTTTTGCTTTCAGTCAAAACAAAGTCTGACCTCAACAACCATTTGAGCATTTAGCTTAATGCAGTGATACATTAAATGTGCAGTGTCCCTCAGGCTCTATTGTAAACCCCTTTGGTGTCATTTTCTACTTTTCACTTATGACTAAATGACTCAGCTAAAGCCTATTTTGTGTGCTAACTAGCAAATGGTAGCATACGTTTTCACTTAACCTAGTTAAGATGCTGTACAGTAATGTTAGCATTGACATAGGAGGGGCAGTCAGATAGCCTAGCGGTTCTTTTGTGCGCCTAGTCATTCTGAGGCTATAGTCCTCATCGCCACAGCCATGGGTTCATCCCCCACTCTCTACACGTTTCCTGTCTTTCTTCACCTGTCCTATCTATTAAAGGCAAACAATAAACAATTCTAGCATTGTCAAAGCAGGCCAGATATGCTAATGTTGGTATTTAGTTTATACAGTCAGTGTGACTCAGTTTCCTTTTGTATTATCATGAGACACAAACGTTTCTAAGCGGCTATAAAAAGCTTTTTATCTAGTTTGAGATAACCCAGGTATGTTTTTGGTGATGTTAGCAGATAGCTAAGGCAAGTCGCTTCTTCAGTGCATCTTTGTTTTTAAGAGAGAGTATTATTTTTTTTGGTTCATGCTATGACTGACGCCCTAACTAGCTCGCAAACCAACACATATCCTCAGTCATGCTAACATACAAGACTATCATGGACATGAGTACTTGGCTTACATAAGTAGGGATCAAGATAAAGATCTGAACATGTTTAGACTATTAACATGCAGTGTTGAGTGGTTTGTTGTGGTGCTCTCTCTCCAAGTATCCCCACTGAAAACACCTGAGGGGAATAGAAAGCAACACTCGCAACAAACACCGAGCTAGCAGACAAGCTGAACTGACCAGCAGTCATGACAGTAGGCCTAACCCTCTCCCGGTCACACCCCTCCCCGCGCAGCCGTGTGTCACAGCCTTTAATTAGCACAGACGTCCACCGTGTTCTCTGTTTATCCATTGGCACATTTCACAGGGATTAGTGTCTTCTTACAGTCCATTATGTAAGGTGTCACATTAGCAGGTGATGCAAGTTAGCTTAATAGGCAGTAATGGTATCTGGCTTGCATCTATGTGATCACTAACCACCGTGTAAACAACTACCCTGTGCACTTTTTCCTCCTCTGTAGTCTGTATTAATAACCTCATAGCACAATTGTTATTTTAAATATTATTATAGTCTTTACAGGAGCGCTGATAGGGTTAAAAGACATTAAAATATAAAGAGAAATAACGAGCCTAACAGGTCTGATAGGATTCCCTCTGACTCTGGATTTCTTTGGACTTTCACTTCCTGCCTCAAGCTGTGAAGAGGAACTAGGACATGAGTTTGGTGTCAGATTGTCCCATTTCCACAAATCCATATGTGCTCCACATAGTCTGCCGTGGTGTCATTTTCTGTTGTGTTGTGACTCATATGATGTTATTTCATCCAATCTGCAGGATAACTCCGTCTTTGATAAGGAAAAGGACATCATCTCTGTGGTAAGTGTGCCCATCACTCCTGTTTTAATGACCTCACACTGGCTGTCTATTGCTTTTGAAGATGGATTTGAAGGTTTTACTTCTTACTTTTAAAGCACTTCATTGTCCGGCCCTAGAATACATATCTGAACTATCCCCATTACCAGCTAGTATGCAGCCTGAGCTCCTCCTCACTTTTTCCACTAAAAACTTAAAAACCAGAGCTCGGGTTCCTTGGCTGTTGAAAGACCTGCCTGAGGATCTCAGACTAGATAGATCAGTATCTTCCTTTATGTAATGTTTACAGACTTGCTAAGGCCTTCTTGTAATCCTTGTTTTATCCTTGATGTTTAATTTATTTTACTGTCTCCTTTAGCCAATCATTTTATTAGTGTTTCCTATTTTATTCTCTATGTCTTCTTGTTTAATTGCTACATTGTTGTTTCTATTTTCTTGGTTTTATTGGGACTTTGTTTTGTATGTATTTTACTGTAGGGATTTATATGTTCTCTAAAGCAGTGTTCTCAACTCGTCTAGCCTCAGGACCCAAAACCAACTCCTCCGTTAGAAATTGGGACCCAAATGTCTGATATTTTTCAACCAATCAGATTTATTTAATTAAAATTTCTGCAGTAGGTAACGAAGGCAGGAAACTAAACAAAACAAACATGTTTAAAACGCACTTCACAAGCTTTTTCCCAGGAACAAATTCTCGACCCACTGAAAACGGCTCCACGACCCACTTTTGGGTCCAGACCCACCACTTGAGAAACACTGCTCTAAATCACTCTGTTACATTGATTTTGATAGGTGCTATTTACTTTATTATTATCTGTATATTCTGTCCATTTTACTATCTTTAAGTGTTTTCATTTTGTTCTGAAAACCTAATGAGATATTCTCAGGAGTAAACGTTGTTTTGTTTCATCCTGCAGTGCCGTCAGATGGTGGCAGTTTGTGATGAGATCCTGAACTCCAGCTCCAACTCCTTTCTTACCCACACTGCTCAGCTGGAGAGTGTCGACCTGGTGCCTGTGGCACCTGGAGATCAGCTGGTAAAGACTTCTTACTCTTCATCACTCTGACTTTTTGTATTGTTAAATGTAGAACAAAGAAAACACCCAATATTTAGTAAGTAAATAATAAGTACATTTTATTTGTAAAGCCATTTTCACAGACAAAGGTTTCAAAGTGCTTTACATCAACTAAATGCAATAATCTGAAATAAACATAAACAACAACACGGGTTGCTCACTGAGCCCATTATAAAAAATTCTGGGCTTGACCAACTCCAAATTCTAAAACAGAATCCAGGTTGACTGACTCTTCCCTCTCTCATCCTTGTTAAACTGTTTTACACTCTTTTTCTAAACTCTTTCTGGTCCCCTCTTCAGTTTTCTATTTGAGATTCTGTTCATCTCATCTGTGCAGCATCTCATTACACCATCATTTTTAATACCCCTCCCTCTCCCTGCTGTTTAATTGCTTTACCAGATCCATAACAAAAATCTCTCAATTATTCTATCTTATTATTTTCTCTCTCTGCTTTTTTCAGTTTTTCATTTCCTGCCGCCTTCATAGCCCGGAGTTTTCCGTCCTTCTTTGTCTCCACTCGTCTCTTTCATCGAACGAAAGGTTCGCTCTTTATCACCTTTTTTAATAATTCCCTCTATCCCTCATTGTGAGTAATAAACTTCTGCTTTCCTGCCTCTTCTCGCCCTCTTAACGCCTCAGCCTTCAGCACAACTTGTACAACAATTATACCTCTCTTCTTTTTCTCTTATCTTCTCCATCTAGTGTCCTTTAGTTTGTTTTGTAACGAGCCCCAATACATGTGTCCTGTTTCCTTCCTTGTGTGCTACTCAATGAGGAAAAAATCTCTTATGTGAGGAGACAATGGTAATCCCATTTCTATCTTCTTGTTTTCGCTCCACTAAACCAACTCTGGTTCTGCAGACAAGCAATATACTCTGGTTGTTTTATGTGTCTCTGGGTGTCTGGGTGGATTTTAGCAAAGCTGGTAATCTTTCACCGTGTTTCTGCAGTCAAACAGGGTCATTTTACAAATGTGCTTAGCGACTAGCAACAAACCCTGATTATCCTCGTCTGACAGAGAGGAATTGATTGGTGCGCATCACAGATAACGAGGTCTGCCCCCTCTGAATGATTGAAAATAATGGGAGCCAAAGACAGAAAGGAAGCAAAGTGAAAGGCAGGAAGAGGTTTTTTTATTCTTCGTCAGTGAATGCACGAATGTACAAAGCCGTTCATTCATAAAGAAAATATGGATCTACAAGTAAAAGCTCGCCATTTCCTCTTTCCTTCCCTCAAATGTAAATGTATTCTAGTCACAGAGGAGAAGCGGGAGGGAGGGAGTGGACGTCTATGATTCATTTAAAAAAGAAGTATATGCAGTGTTGGGAAATGACAAACAAATTGTGACTCAGCTGATTTTGTCATTCATCCCTGGTAGATGTCTTCGTCCTGTCACAGTAAATGACGGTGTGTGTGTGTGTGTGTGTGTGTGTATTTTAATGATCGCTGAAAAACCTTTTGTTTCGACGTTAGAGAAAATAACATAGTACTTTACAGAGGTCAAGAGTTAAATCTACTAAGTCATTCTACAATTCCCTTATCAGATGGTTTTATCCAAAGCGACTAATCAGAGACTATGTACAACACAAGCGAGGATCTAGGGAGGAGGAAAGGACGTAAGTAAGAGCAAACGGTCAGGTTTAAGTCCGATCAGGTGCTGACGGGCAGCGCGCAACATCGACAAGTTAAGCATCACATTCTTGTTGGACATCCACCAAAAAATATTGAATTTATTTTTTTTAATAGGGACAATGCAATTTAACATAGTTTCAATACAAAGCATGAAACTGATGTGCTGCATAAAGAGTTTATAGCTATTGCTCATTTCCAACTCGTGTCCCCAGATGGGCCTTTGTGTAAACAAACAGATTAAGATGTAAAACATTTGGTTACATAAAACCCCATAACACTATATGAGGATACATTAAAACACACGTACAACAATACAAATGCTATAAACTAGTTTAAAATAAAGTTTTAAGATACAGCTCTGGCTTGCTTTAAGCCAGCATTTCACCTGTTTTGTAAAAGATTTTAAGTCCGGGATTCATTTTATTTCAGGTGGTAATGTGTTCCAGAGTTTGCAGCCTTTGATGGAGAAGGCTAATTGACCAATGTTAATATTAAGATGTTGAAATTTATACATATATCTATATTATTGAGTCTGTAATCTTGGCTTCCTGGTCTGTGATCTGTGATCTCTGCCCGTTATCATTTAAATCAATCAAGGCCGGCTGATGGCTGATCAAAGGCAGAGGACATAGATATATCAAGACACAGACATCCATATCTGTGTAACATCCGACAGTGATGACAGGAGCAAGACAGGGCGATGTTTCGGAGTCCATTAGTGTGAATCATCTTAATGATGTGCAGCGCTGTCTCTGTGTTCTGCAGGTTTATCACAGAGGAATGTATAAAGCATCTTTTTTGTCTCTCTCTCTCTCTCTCTGGTAGGGAATCGAGATAACGTCGACGGGCTCCAGTAATCACTACGTGACTGGAACTGCAGCTGAGGTTAGACTCTTTCACTTCCAATCCACACACACACACACACACACACACACACACTTAACCATCGCTGCCACCTCAGTGCTCTTAACTGATCTCCCAGAAGAGAGCAGCGTGACTCAGACCTCAGCTCCTCTTGAACCAGAGAACAAATAGGTTAACTCCAGCTCCAGAGAAGGGTCTAAAGCTTCCCCACAGTTTTTTATTTCCTAATCGCTTCTGTCCGGCTGTTAAAGCTACAGATACACTGTGACTCTTTGGCTCACATCTGACACATATTTGTGCAGCAGATATTTACCCTTTTTATTTTTTTACACTTCTCCTATGGAAAGGTCTGATCAGTTAACCACAGATAACACTTGACCTCTTGGTGGTCTCTGCTTACAGTAGAATGATCAGAATGTATATTATAAGCTGTGAAGACCAATGAAGGTTGATCATAACTCCTACAATCTACATCAGCTCCGTTCCATGTTTGTGACCATGAAACTTCATTTTGTGGCTGTTCCCAATATCAGAACATATCTACTTTCATGCTTTGAATTCTTCTTTGGACATTAGAAGTATCAAAAATGAATTTGTATTCAGTTATTATGAAAGCATGAGCTGTTTACGAGGCAGAAAAAATTACCTCTATTTTTAGCCGCTGTTATCTTTCTTTGATTCACTTCTTTCAAACTGAAACCAATCTGAGTCCTTGTGCTGCTGATACTTTGAATTATAAACACTGTATTGACTCGAGGCCTCTAACTACAACCTGTGCATGAACAACTAAACCTTATGTGTATCATGGCTGACATAGTCTATGTATGTTTCTTAGTATTAAAGGAAGAATGTGTGACATTTTACACATAAATAAATACAGCAGAAATCAAGTATATCCGCTTGCTGTGTTGTTGTTGTCGGAGCCGTGTTTACATCATGTTTACATGGACGGGACCGCCTTTCCTATAAATCTGTTTAAGTCAAGAGAAATGAAGAATAGCATACTCACTGCTTAGCACACAGGTAACTGCAGCTCGAGGAAAGGACAATTTTGTCTGCCGCTTGTGCCTAATGGTGCTTAACTATGATGTGTTCCAATTTATAACTCCATCGTGTGAACACGCTAGGAGGGAAGGGTTGAAGGTGTGTGTCAGGTGGAGAGTGGAGGCTTCACAATGGCGGAGTTGTCGCCAACAAGCAGTTTTAGTTTCATTCTGATGCTCAAGGGCGACATCTACTGGATCAAAAAGTCGCACATTAATCTTAATGTACCGTTTTTATATTTATACCAAATAAAGGTATTCACCCAATGTTAGTCTTAGTAAGGTCACAGCTTAAATTTTACATTTTAACACAAGTATAGTTTAAAGGGCTTTTTAAAATTAAAAGTTTGTTGTCTGTTGTTTTGTCAGCTTTGGCTCCTCTCGGAAATAGAAACATCCAACGGAGAGCTTGAAAAACTAAAGATCACTTAAAACATGAAGCGTATGATCTGAACTGTAGAGCGATGGAGGGATGGAGGGATGGAGGGATGGAGGAGTGTTTATAAGCCAGAGGAAGACGAGGGCTTGTAAACTGAGAGTGAGGGTATAACTCTCCTGAGGACTAAAAGACGGAGATGTTATTTTTCCATGATGTCAACAACAAAGTACCCTCGACTCCCCTGCTGCTGTTACATCGCTGCAGCCGAATGCTAAAGGGAGACTTGACCAAAAACACACACACACACACAGTGCAGCCTGTGTGTTACTGTGCACGCTCTCTGTACTGCTCCACACAGAGAATCAAATCAACCTGGATACACTCTTCCTGTAGTGTGTCCATAAACTATTTTTTCATTTAAATCGACGTCTTTAGGATTTTCTCAGGAATTCTTTAATAAAAGATCGACTCCTGTCCGATTCAGCCAAACTGAGGAAGCGATCCCTCCGCCATTTCTGTGCAATACTTAAATTTGAAGAAGATGGGGCACCGGTGGCCTAGTGGTTAGTTTATGTGCTCAATCAAAAGAGATTACAGCCCGTGTTCAAACCCGACCTGCAGCTCCTTTGTCGCATGTCATTATATACTTTGCTTAGTAGTATCCTTATAAGGTAGAAGTAAGAAAAATCATATTAAGATCATAATTCATGTTCAACAGCTTCCTAACTTACGATCAATCAGCTGTCATTAGGAGGGCAAACTCTTAGTTTATAGCCTGTTAGCTATAGACTGTGGTCATGTAGAATAAGGTACTAATAGGTGCCCAATAATGACTTATAAGCAGCCAGTATGCTACTAATTAGCATGCTAATAATCAACTAGTTATTGATGAATGTTGTGACTTTAATTAAAGGGTCTCTGACATCCTCAAAACATGTAAAAAAAAAAGTAGATATAGTACCTGAAGAAACCCCTTATTACCTTCTCCTTCACTGCAAGTCACAGCCCATAGAAGCAGAATCTTTTCCTAAAACTGATCAACACATTTCCAAAATGAAGACTGAATTAAATGTGTCTTGGTTTCATTTATTGTGTCTTCATTTGTTGCATCATTTCTATCTTCTTTTTGCAGCCTTCAGCCGATATTTTTGTGAAGATCTTGGCTGGTGATGAAGTGATTCAAGTCAACGATCAGATAGTGGTGAGAGTGACGTTAATTATACATTATGTGTGTTCAAGAGCCTATACGTATGTGTTTCATTGTATGAAAGTGGTGATGCAGAATGAAGTGTAACTTCTCCACATCTCCGAGGAGACAAAGCTCCGCACGTTGACTGTTTGAGCGTCTGTCACTGTAAGGTTCACACTGGAGTAATGATGTGGGTCTGTATCAGGTGGGCTGGAGCAGAGCTAACCTGGTCAAGAAGCTGAAGGAGAATCCCAGCGGGGTCACTCTGGTCCTGAAGAAGATACCTGGATCAGTGAGACACAGAGACCCCGTCCTGCTCTCCCCCCAACAGGTCAGGGATCCTTAAAGTCTTCAAATCTATCATGAATATCTTTCAAATACTTAAGATCACAACGGCAAACACACACTCATGTGAAGATGGCCTTGCATGCAAGATGATGAAATTGTCCAATCAAGAAAGATTCTGCTCACTTCAGATATGCTATTTTGTCCTGGGAATAACATCCTTCTTGTTTAATTTTTACTCTAAATTTGCCTGAAATGCAAAGTTTAATACAATTTTAATCATTTGTGAGTCCATTTGAAAAAACTCAAAGTCAACCACATCATTGATGTACGCAGACAATTTCGATTTTCTACCAATTAGTCTCAGTTTTTGATCATGTCATCCCAGATTAAACCATCCCTCAAATGTTGGATTGTTTAAACGGTTCATATCAGGGGATCCCGTGCGTTCCCTTCTCATGAGATTCCATTTTTTCCATTTCCGTTTAGCATTGCTTGGGATTTTTCCATAAAACACACACACACACACACACACACACACACACACACACACACACACACACACACACACTCTCACACATCCTTATTAGTCACCATAGCGACCGTCCTCAAACCAAACACTGAATTAAACTCTGTGTCTGAGACAAGCTGGCACACTCTGTGCATTTCACACCCCTGTGTGACCCTCACCATGTTCATATCTGATCTAGCTGCCGCCTCAGGGTAAGGAAGCTCACATAAGATGATGTGCATCAGCTGAGTGCATCGGCTCCTTGTTGCCGTCACTTGAGTCTCACAGACAGTGTGTGTCAGTGTTTGTGTTGTTGTCTCATGTCCTGACACAGACAGAGACCCCGAGAGAGGGCTACCATGACAGTCTGCATGATATCCTCCTCTGCTAACCCCTCATTAAGAACACACACTCAGAGTGTATTGTGCACGCTCGCATGTTTGTATTTCTGAGGATATTTTTTTTTTCCTTTTCAGAAAGAAGAAGAAGAAGAAGAGGAGACAGAGGAGAGGTCAGAGGGGGAAGAGGAGGATAACCCAAGGCACTCCATATTTGAGAGGGTAGCAGCGTCTGTCCGGTCCCTGTCTTTTAGGTAAGAGTGTTTATTAGCTTTCCCGCTAACAATGTGCTCTGCCTTCAGTGAGTGTGGCTGTATTATGTAATTGTAGTACAGTGTTGGAAATGTGTGTTTTTTACATTACTTTTTAAAATATTTTCTTTAATTTGTCACGGAAAATCAATTTATTCATAATTTTGAACATCAGCAGTTATTAAATTCAGTTTGCAAGTTTACCAGGGGCGTGTCCAGAGGGGGGGCCAGAGGGGCGGCATGGGCCACCCTTGAAATCTGATTGCTCCAAAAAAAAACTCCAAAAATTTAAAACTGTGATTGGCTATTTTCTTTATCAAAGGTGACTACTCTGGCCTCTTTTTTTTGCAAATGTCTGCTGTTAGTTTATTTTTTTATTTTTTGGGTATTTTAAATCAGTAATAATTAAAAGTAATAAGTAATAATAAAATTAAATTAAAAAAAGTAATAATTAAAACCACAAGCGATGATGAAGGGACTTCTCAACCATGTGCATGTCCGGGCTAAGTAAGGAGCTGCGCAGATTGAGGCCCCTAAATAAATACCGTAGTGGTCCGAATATAAGACGACCCTGATTATAAGACGACCCCCGTTTTTCAACACTCATATTTAGAAAAAAAGATTTGCAGACCAGATCTTGTTTTTATAAAGAACTTTTTTTAAAGAACAATATTAAAAACACATTGAATTAAACACCTGTTGTATTAATAATTATAATAATAATTAACATACCGCATTTATCGGTATAGGCCTACGGCACTTTTCAAAACAAAGTGTTTCACAAGGTCAAAATATGTACAGTATGATTCAAAATTAAAATCAAGCAATATTATCAACATTTTTAAATAACAGAGAAAATACAGGCCACATCTTTAACTAAACTAAAGCTTGCCAAACTTCTCCTCCGATGTCTCCTATTCCTCACACACGTCCTCCGCCCCGCTGTGTTCGCTCTCACTGTCATCACTCCCATGTGTGTTGACATTTAAAGGGACAGGTGAACAATTAGAGCTGTGCTCTGAATAATAGACCCCGAATATAAGACGACCGGACTTTTTCGGACCTATTTCGATGGGGAAAAAGGCCGTCTTATATTCGGACCAATACGGTACTTTGCACATCTCTTTCATAAAACAGGTGCAAAGGAAAGTAAAGCACACTGTCTTGCATGCAATGCACTAACTGGCCATTTTTCATTACCAAAACATTGCCATGTATTTTTGTATTTAAGACTGTGCAGGAGTTTGCATGCATTTCTTAAATACTTTAAATCATCAATTTGAACTGACATCTTCTTTTTGTGTCTGAATGAATTAAGCTAAGTTGATATATACATTTCAAATATCTTGTGTTATCTTGTAGCTATGATTGCTGAAGTTAGAGAGGGTAAATAGAGGGTATTTATTTGTGTGTGCGCATCACACATCAGGCCACCCCTGCTGAAGTCGGTGCCCCCGGTGGGCCACCCCAGTCAAAAAAGTCTGGACACGCCCCTGCAGTTTACAGTGATGTCAATTACCCACCCATCGATACTTCATATCCATTTTGCCCTCTTGTAAACTACAAAACTAAACAAAAGGGTTTAGTTCAAGCTCTGAGTAGAAAGCCCAAGCTGCAGTTAAGTTATTGCTTCATAAATCATTTTTTAAAAATTCCTACTCTCGTGGACTGCACCTTGGGATGATTATATACAGGGCTCGTTTGATAGGCCTGAAGGATACAAACAAAAGCTTTTAGTGAGAAACATTGAGCACAGTCGAGACTGAAAACACCACAGGGAACCCTTAAAATGGAAAACACCATCCACGAGCTGAATAAGCAGAATGAAAAAGTGGTACACGTTTCCTTTGAAGAGTATCTTGTTGCCCTATTATGGACTCTCTTCTCAAATATAATCTGTATCTAATGTGAAAAGTAAGCAGTTTAATTTCCTAAAAAAGAAATTAAATAGCTGACTGTAGCTGACCTGTGGGAACTCGTAACATTTAGAGGCAAAATAACTCTGATCCCAGAGCAGGCTTGGCTACATTTTGTTTCTTTTTACAAAACTGCTGAGGATTCACCGAATAGAGCTGAACCTCCTATGAACTCCTTCTGATCTCTTTAATTTGCCAGGACCCGGTTAGGTTTGCGATGAGGTCACACTGCATATGCCATAGATTCCTTATCTATCACGCCCACGGTTCACGGCTGACTGGAAACGGGAGAAAAAGGAGGAAAAAATGAGTCGGAAGATGGATAGTTGAAGGAGTTTAGGGGAGAGATGAAGAAAGACACAAACAAGGTGAAGAAAAAAAAGAAAAGAAGGGAGGAAAAAAGAGTGATGGAGGGGCAAGAGGAGCCGGTGAGAGCTGATGGAGAGCAGGCGGGCTCAGACAAATGGAGGGAGTAGGCGGGGATGGTGCATTAAAGTTCTAAATTATCCTGTCACGTCCTGATACACTTACTTCAGACTAAGTGGAAAAACCAAGTCTAAACTTTTGACTTCTGTCTAATAGAGTCATATTTCACCTCTTTAAAATCCAAATCCCTGTTTATACCTTTTATACTCGTCATGCTTTTTCATGCTGTCAAAGACATCGTCAGTGTGGTTGTTAAAGGGACTCTTTCTGACATCTTTTTGCACATTAATCAAATTATTTTTTAGCTGAATTTAAAATCTCTTTGTGCTGCAGCCCCTGTTTAGCGCTTGAATGCACCATGAAGAGATTTCTGTTGGGGCCATTTGCTTTTATTGGATAGGACAGCGGAAGAGAAACAGGAAATGTTTGGAGGAGAGCGTTGGGGATGACATGCAGGACTGTAGCCTCTGTACAGGGTGGCGTTGGACTTTACCGCTAGGCAATAGGGCGCCCGGCAGGACAACCCGTGTATACATCGACTCTAGAGAAGAGGGGGCAGATACATCGACTCTAGAGAAGAGGGGGCAGAGGGAGACAGCTCCCTTCAATGTTTTGAATTTGGAGTACAGTACCCATTTTAAACACTAGGGGTCAACATTACATACTACTCCTTTAAATTTGCTAAATAAATGGAAATAGATCAAATGCTCTGAGAAGCAGATTTTATTTGCTGAATCAATCTTCCTGTAGGTCATGTAGTAGAGGGAGCTTCTTTGTTTTAGCTTTAATCATCTTTTCTTCATTATTAGAGCTGAGTTTGAACCATGATTTAGGAAAACATGTTCGTTATTTAACTAAAAGGGTTAAAAACGGAGACTTTATGTAAACGAGATGATACAACGATCTCAAAATGTTGTCTCAAAGGTTCAGCAGGTCGATTCCTGCAGTGCATGTATTAGCACTTGTGTTGATGCAGTTTGTCGCCTGCATGCAGTGATGTCGATTGAACAAAAGAGTATTAAATGTCACTCTCTGCTGACACGGACTCAAAATGAGCTTTTATTGTGTTTTGAAGAGTGACAGATTTGATCGTCACTTGGCAGTTTCACTCAGGCTCACTGCTGGGTTCATGAAGAATAACTACATTATTAACATTCTCTCAGGGAGAGACTTTGTCAGCTCGGAAAACTTGAGGCTCTCTCCGAGCCGGGTACGAGACCGGTCGCCATTACCCAGAAGTCCGTCGCCCTTGGCATTCAGAAGTCCCTCTCCTCAGGGAGTCAACGAGGAAAGAGCGAGTGTCAGTTCCTGCCCTGAGATGGTAGGACACACGGTGAGGAGAGGAAGACGGACATGCAGACATTACATCGTTTTCCCACATTTTAAACTCTCACTAACTTGACTGGTTTTATATTTTCAGGGGAATAAAGACACAAAGAAGTCTTCTACTAAAGGTAAATGTTAAGTACCAAAATCAAAAGGCACAGTCGAGTGTCAGACTGTTTTAGCCTTAAAGGCTTTATATGTGATTTTTTGATCCAGCAGATGTCGCCCTTGAGCACCAGCATGAAACCAAAACAACTCGTGCTGCATTGTTGTGTTAGCATGCTAATGCTAGCGATCTTTATTATGCTCGTATCTTCACACTGCATGTAAATTTACCTGAAATGAGCGTGATCTAGAAACACAGTTAAGCAGTGAGTACAGTATGTTATTCTTCTTTTCTTTAGTCCCTCAATTAAACAACTTTTATACGAGAGTTGATGAGCTGGCCGTCCCGGCGATGTAAACAAACTGAAGATAGGGCTGGGAAAACTCGGAAAGCATCGCAGACAGTGGGACTCGGGTGTTGTAGACAGTCATGACTCACAGAGTTATTTTCAGAGGATATACTTGATTACATTTAAGTGTGAAAATCTCATATAAAGCCTTTAAGATTAGCATTAACCCTTTAAAAAGTCTTAAAACTTAAAACATCATACCAGATCTTCTTTTTCATCCCTTCCTTTCATCATTGTTTGTTTCTCTCCCAGGCATGACAACGGCTCTGAGTCGGCGGCGCGTGTCCTGCCGGGAGCTGGGTAAACCTGACTGCGACGGCTGGCTGTGGAAGAAGAGAAAGGAGAGTGGCGTGTTCATCACCCAGAAGTGGCAGCGCTTCTGGTTCATCCTGACGGGGCCTTCACTCTACTGGTACACGAGCCAACAGGTGGGAATAACTCCAACAATGGAAACTGCTTCATCTCTACACATCCATATGGAAGACTTAGTACTCTAAAAAAACAACCAGCTTGAAGATGATTTCAGTGTATGTTTATGGTTTTCCCTGCAGGACGAGAAGGCCGAGGGTTTCGTCAACATATCGAGTTTTGACATCGAGAGCGCTGGAGAGCACAAGAGGAAAAAGTGAGCATCAGTTCCATGATACGTAATATAAAAAAAAGTCTTAATCTAGGAGTTTGTGAGGATGTGTAGTTTGTAGATTTGATGAGATGATTATAACAGTCAGATACTCTTTAAGTACTTATTTGAGTAGTTTGAAACAGGAGCGTTATTGTCCCTGTGCTCAGAGGACAGTCTGTCACAGCTTTATGCAACATGTGCGTGTGTGACGCAGGAAAATGTGCAAAATAAAAAGCCTTATTCAGAATGTTGTTAATCGACTGTTTTGGATAAAAGCGCATTACGTATGTTTTGAATAAGTGGCCTCATATCTGATGACAAATAGAGTGTTTGTAAGTCGAGCGTCTGTATGAGTTTTTAATGACTTTTTGATAATCTTCACGTGGCCTAACCCCCCCCTTCATGTTTGTGCCTCCTCTCTCTTGTTTCTCCCCCCTCCCCCCTCAAGTGTGTTTCAAATGTGCCACCGGAGATTTCACAACTTCGTCTTCGCTGCCGATAACCTCGGGGACATGACCAAGTGAGTACAATCCATTGCAAGCCAAGGACTCGTTCAGCTTGTCTTGTCTGCTTTTTCTTTCTTTTTCTCATAACCTTTAAAAAAGATCAGCCAAGGTTGTTCAGTTATTCAAATGTTTTCACTCTTAGTCACCAGTTCTGAAAAAAGCACACTGGTAGACTACATGTATCAGCTATCATTCTTTATTTTTTTGCAAACTGAGTGCATCAAAGCTGTTAAAATCCTGCTCTGACAGGTGTTGGTCTTCATCGCCCCCTGCTGGTGGCTTCTCAGAAAGACGTTTTTGAGGCTGTTACGTCACATTTACAGAAATGTTAAAGCCGCATCCAAAACCAGTTCTGAATCTAGATAGCTTTTTAAACCCTGTTGTCCTGTTCTTTCTTTCTGTTCCTTTGTTTACTTCAGGTGGATTAACAAGCTGATAACGGCCATAAAGAATCATAAGCACAAAGGCCCTGAGAGTGAAGAAGGTGGGGAAATATTCTTCTCATGTTGTTTAACTTGTATTTAAACTACCAAATCGTTTGATGCACTTACAGACTCAATCACTGGAATCCAAAATGTCTTTGATGCACATATCATGTATTGTAGTTGCTTTGAGGTTTCCTGCTGCGCCGACATAATGAGAAAGAAATGCACAGTCATTTAAATATCAACAACTTAACAGCCTGTTTATCTGCGTGCAGAATGTTACAGTGAGACTGAATCAGAGAGCGAGGGATCACCTTCAACCCGCAGAAGAAACAAGGTCAGTGCAGCTATAGGCTCAAACATGCATGCATACACACACACACGCACACACACACGTCTTCTGGGTGCCATGTCAATATCATGTGTCTCGTTTTGTTGCCTCAGAAAGTGCAGTCCAACACTCTGCCTCGACCCAAAAGGAAGATCGACAAGGTTCCATTCTCGAGTCCGTCATCAGGGGGCAGCAAAGGAACAGGTATGTACCGTCTCAACTCCATTCTGGCTTTTTCTTTGCTGCTTTCTTGTTTTTTTCTCTTGTAATGAAAAATGTCTTTAAAAGTCCCTCTGACTGATGTTTGAATAATTTGTGAGCTGATAAGTCAACTTAATACAGACATGTTGATTCCTTGGCTTTACCCTGTGTTTATTTACATCCAAATAAACTGTCAACAGATGTCAGAACAGCCAAAGCTCATCTTATCATCTCTGTCGTTTTCTGCCCCTCCGTCTTTACCTTTCTTTAACTCTGCTCCCCTCAGGAGGACCGGTGGACGAGATGGGTATGATGCTGAACAACATAAAGGAGGGAGGAGTGACTCTGATCGGCAGCGAGCAGCCGTTCACGCACGACCACTTCAGGAAGTCGTTCATACGACGCAACAAGAACCCCGTCATCAACGAGAAAGCGCACACGCTCAGGGCCCTGCAGAGCACACTGAAGGTGAGCACAACAGGGAATCGTGTCCTCGAGTTACCCAAACGAAAGCCTTTCAAAATGACTATTAAGAAAAAGGACAGATTTTAAGACGTTCTAACTGCAAAGGGGCCTGGCATTTTCAAAAAGCATTCACATTCAACATCTCCTGCATCAGCTTGACTCATCTAATTTACCTCATCTGAAACACCTGAAGTTGAAATATTTCCCTTTTTAGTTTGCAGACTGTATTTACCACTAACTCCTATATATTCTCTCTGTATCATGAGTTAGTGCAAATAAGAAATGTCATCTGTTCATGTCTGAAACAGCCAAACCTCTGTGTGACATTTTAATTTGATTTGAGTTCTTGACAATAAATCAACAAATAACTCTCGAAAAGAAAGGTTAAATTCAGAACGTTTCATGTTTGATTGTCTCTCCATCACTTAAACCTTTTTTCTTTTGCTCTACAGGCCAAAGAGGCGGAGCTTCTGCAGATCAACAAGCTCCTGGAGGAGTCCAGCCTGACGCCTTCAAAGTATCGTCAGTGGAAGGAGAGCAACGAGGAACTAATCCAGGAAATCGAGAGAGTTGTATCACTCAAGGCCGCCAAAGAAAAAGACGGCGGGGCAGCGCAGGGCACACCTGCCGAGGAGGTTGCCTCGGAAACCGTCGCCACGGAAACAGCGGCCGAAGGCGCATACAGACTGAGCCTCAGCGACGGGGAGCAGTTGGTGGACGCGGAACCCGCCGATGTCTTTTTGGAGATCCCTCAGGGCTCCCCGAGTCCCGAGGGAAGTCCGGTGTTAGAACTCTCCCTGGGATCTCTGCAGGAGTCAATAAATAAACAGCTGAGCGAGATGGCGGAGAGCGGAGAGGCTACGGAAAACTACTTTTACATTTGAGAAACCCCCCCGACTCTCCTCTGGCACACGCTGTCACATCACTGCACAGTTTCTCTGTTTAATCGAATCAGACAAATGAAAGACGTTCATCAGGTTTGCACGGTGACAAAGGTGCATCCACCTGAAACGATCAGCCGAACACAACATTCAAAAAATCTGCACTTTAATCAAGTTTGTGGGTTCAATGCATCAGATTTGGACTTAGATTTCAAACAGCAAAAAAAAAAAGTGTACAATGCAGAAAAGAACAAATTGCCAAGTGTCATTCTTACTTCAGTATGTATTTATAAATTCTAAGACTGTTCTTCTGATAAAAAAATGTAGGACTTTTTAGAGAATTTGTAATATAAGTCCTGCCTCTTTTAATGTGACATGTAAATACAATTTTACAATAAATACTGTGTGTATTTGTTTATTGACACGACCTTAATAAAGGTTTACTTTTTAAATATTTTGCACATGAAATATGCCTTAAAATCACTGCTCCATCTCCTTTTTCTTTCGTTTTGTTTTGTCATTTCCTGAGCCTTTCACACCTCATGGAGAACACTTCACCTCCCCTCATATATGAACACAAACCACAGAGAGAAGCTGCGTGACAGTTGTGGTTATATTTTTTTTTTGCCTGAGTCTGCGATGAATGCAAAAAAAAAGAAAGAAGTTAAAACTCTTGCTGAGATGTCAGAGGTGGCCTCGCTCCTTTCAATTGAAAGGAAAGTAAAGTGGGAAACGACTGCAGAACGTTTTATCCACCAATATGCTTTTCTATAGTTTTGGGTTACTGTTCATAATATGTGTTATAAAATGATTTTCTTTGCGTTTGTGTCTCTCTTCATCGTGCTTGAATCACAGCTCTTTCTTTGAATTCGTCTCTCTCTGCTCGAGCTGTTTGTGAACTGAAGGTTTTCTTCATTCAATGGAAATCATTTCGTTACAGTCTGCTCGCTCTTTTTTTCCCCTACCTATCACCGGAGGAAGTTTGCTGCTTTCAGAACGATCTTCATATAACATTGACCTAGAAAAAGGTTAAATCATGTTCAGATTCAATCATTTCAAAAATGCTTCAACACCTCGAGTTACACAACACATAAATAATACAGCTGTAGAGGGAACAGGAAGGAGACATCCATTGTGACTCCATCCAATGGTTCATTCAAATACTTGAGGTCAGTGTTTTTGCCGTCACCATCTTGATTCTGTGGAGCCAGAAGTGATTGTACTTGTTGACAGGAAGGAGGTCTGGAGGAACAAGTGGTAAAGTTATAAGCTATCCTGGTTAGCAGTTCACATATTATACACATTAACTCTGATATAAAAGACACTGAACTTTAAAAATTGTGGTAAAGTCCAATACAAAGAAACAGCCTAATGGACCTTTTTTATTTAGTGTTTTAACAGAGAGCAATAAAGGGTTTACTAAAGTATTTACTGTAATACAAATGTAGTGTTGAGTAAAAGTAGAGACAACTAGAACACAACATCATGTAACCAAAAGCTTGGCCGTTCAAAAAGAAATCCCTAACACTGTATGCATAGTCGAGGTGAATTAAGCACAGTTTTTAAAGGACAAAATAAGGTATACAGATTTAAAACGTATATGTATACACCCACCTGCACACATGTTTATTAAGAAAAAGGGACGTGCACGTACCACAGCAACAACACTACAACCAAAACAATCTTCAGAACATCTTTGAGACCCTGCACAGTGAGAAGGAGGTGTAGGGGATTTTGGGAGAAGTTTCAGGATCCCTCAGAATGAAACGCTATAAACATTCATTTGTCCATTAATATTCTGAATAACATGGAGGATGTGCCAGGGGGCCGTATGTCTCTGCTGTAGGAAGGTGTTGTTATGTGGAATTCTTACATGTTTTTTATGATCTCTATTTATGTAACTACTTTATAAGTCTCTTGCAGGACAGAGTCCAAGACACATTTCCCTTTGAGGACAATAAATTATATCTCATCTTGTCTTATTTTCAACGCAACAAAATCTGGCGTCTTGCCTGGAGTCTAAACATTTTCTGATCTCCTTTTAAATTCCACTTACTGCTTTTAATTATCCTCTTTTGTCTTATCAGCCCGTGGTGTTAGCGACTCACGTTCATACAAAATTGACAACACTGAACTCCAGGTCTCCCTTTGTATGTCATATTATTGAATTAGTCCCTCTTTGAATGACGTCAGAACGGTAAGAACTGTTCATTCTGTTATTCTACTAATAATCTCCTCCCCCCTCCCCCTCCCATCCAAGTGACGCATGTGTTGATGCCTGTTGGTGTTTGCTGCTTATGTGATTTAGAGGGTTATGTGGAACAACTTAGTTTCCAGAGGTTAAGTCAAGTGCCCAGTCTATGAAGTGAGAAACAATAACACATATAGACTGCAATAGTTAGTATTACAGAGCGCGTGCCTGGAAATGAGGCAGAGTAAACAGTGTGATGATAATTCAAGCACAGAGGATGCTACCCTGTTGGAGGCCGTACACTGTACGTGGAGTCTAAAAAAAGAAGGTTGAGGATGACGGTGAGGAAGAGGAAGAGGACTGTCATAAAAGAGCTGCGTCAAACTGTACGTTAAAGCCTCGCTCTGTGACGTGCTGTGTTGTTATCCAATGAGTGCTGTCACTGTGGGCCCCACAACGCGTTTTACTCATGGCTTCCTGAATATTAAGACTCAATTAGAAAGAAGAATTTCGGTGCAATTCTTCTTCTTTCCAAATTCCGAATCCAGGCTACTCAATTTCTGTCCAGATATCTTTAATACTTTGGTTAAATGAGTGGTTCCTGTTGATGATTTTTCACAATTGTTTTCTTTCTGTGTCAATTTGGATTGTGATTTTTTGTGTGATTGTTTTGAAATTGCACGTGCATTTGATCTCTTGTAAGTAAAATATAGGCCTACAATTTAACTAAGCATGCATTGCACATTTAAAAATGAGTCCAACACTGGGGTAGCTGAGTGGTGAGTGATGTACACAGGCTATAGTCGTCCAAGCAGGCGGCCCAGGTTTGAATCTGACCTGTAGTTCTCTTCCTGCCCGTCATTCCCCACACTGTCTCTCCTCCTTGATAACAGACTCTATCGACTGTCCTGTCTCTCAAATAAAGACATTAAAAGCCTAAAAATAAACCTTGGAAAAATTAGTCGGGGCGCTAGTGGTGCAGTGGATGGTGCGCGCCCCATGTATTGACGCTGTGGTCCTCCAGGCGGGCGGCCCAGGTTCGAGTCCGACCTGTGGCTCCTTTCCCGCATGTCGATCCCTCATCTTTCTCTCTCTAATTTCCGACTCTGTCCACTGTCCTCTCTCTCTCCAATAAAAGCCCCCCCCAAAAAAATTCCACGATTCAACAAGTGAGAAATGTTCCACAGTATGTCAAGATAAAACCTAGAACGATCTGCTTCTACGTTTAGTGTTGCAAAAACTGTAAAACAAAGATCAGGAAACAGTGTTATATTGAAATGTTTAATCAAAAGACGGCTGCATCACCATGAACACAATAGAACAAGCGTACACCAATGAATCATCTGCAAAGAACAAACAACACCCTGTTGAACATCCTCCTACTTTCCTCTTCACACTGACTGTGTCACTGAGTAAGTCATATCACATTCACAAAATGAACACGTCTCAGTTTACGTATCATACAAACATTTACCCTGACGAGCAGTTAGCAAAGATCTGACCTCAGTCTGACTCCTTCATTGTCCAAAGTGACCTCAGAGTTCAACCAGAGTGCAAATGCTTTCAGGAAAAAAAAAACAAGATTTCTGTTTCCATTTATAAAAAAAAAAAAAATATCTGAAAGACTGTTTTCATCACTTTTTAATATTAACAAGTAAAGTTAAACCTAAAATTAGGTTAAATCCACTTTGGACGTTGGTTTTAATAACAGCATATAAACAAGTTTTTTCCCAAGGTTATTTTTTACTTTAAGCTCTAACTTTATTTAAGCTACAGCTCTCTAAATTTATCACAAATATTTATGTCACAGTTGTCTTTGGACACCAAAAAAAATTGGGCTGTCAGCATTAACAAATAAATCCCAATTAATCAAGGTCTGAAATTAAGGCATTCTTTTTTTTATTTTTTTTAATTAATCACATTGTATTTGCCTTTAGGAGCACCGTAGCCTCCGCAGTGTCCACCTCTAGTCAGAGATGGAAAAGAACGACACTGCTGCGTCCTTGAATGTCTCATTTCACTTAAAAAAAAAACTCTGACAGCTCAACTGACGAGTCCAAAGTCCAAAACATTTGACTTTGTTACCGTCCCTTTGAGAGGTTTTTTTATTTAGTTTTTGATCCATAACGAGTTCCTTTTTCCCTTTGCTTGAGTTAATGTCGTCACATTAAATCTACAAGAAGGACCTTGCTTTATTTCAAAATAAAAGCGGGGTTGATTTCAAACAGCAAGTACATTCAGCTTAAGACATTAAACATTTTTCAAAATAAAAGCCTAGAAATTACAATTTTATCATTAAATGCAAAATAATTGAATTCCAAACATGTGATTAATTCAGATTAAATATTGAAATTAAGTGATTAAAATAAAAAAATGTAATTGCTTGACAGCCCTTAATAAAAAAAACATACTATGTTGCTTGCTAACAGTACATATGCATGGCTACAATATGAAAGGCAGCACAAAGAGACTTACGACATGTCGCAGTTAAAGGCAGCAGGAACATCTCTTTTCAACATCGATTATTTCAGTGAATCAGTGGCAATTATTTTTTTGTTGTATTTTACATGTTAGTTTGTGTCTTCATCAAGAGCCAATAACATCATCATGTTCCATTAATCTTTCAGTGAGGATGTGCAGCAGTTCACAGTCATTAATGAATCACTTCACTTCATTAGCTGGCAGATTGATTAGCTGTTAAGTTTGAAGTATATGTCCCGGTGTTATCTTTTAAGTATTTATATTCTAACAGCTGACTTCGTAAACATTCATGTCTGGCTTGTTGCTGATCTCTGGAAATGATTGACAGGCAGGACAGGCGGGCAGCTCGGGGCAGGAGGGGCAGGTCGGACACTTGGGCCGTTTGAAGCTGAGCAGCAGAGCGCTGCCTCCCAGCACCTGTGAACATGAACCCAGCCACCCAAAGTAGAGCGACCCCGCTGGATGCAGGCTGAGTTGGGGGAACTTGGTCCCTTGACTACTCATCCCCAGTATCCCGAGGTTGTGCGTGTACACCCCGAGAGCAGTCAGGCTCAGCAGCCCTGCGGTCACAACCAAGAGTCCGCCCGTCGCAGCGACACCCCTCAGAGGTAGATCCGTCCAGCAGCGGACCCCGACGCACGCCAGGACAATGCCGGTGCCGCACAGGAACAGCGAGGTCAGGATCAGACCTTGGGCGAGGCGGACCCTGGAGTCTCTCTGATACGGACCTGCAGCGGGCCAGCACTGCTTCAGCTCCGAGTGCTCCACCTGCAGGCAGGTCTCCCAGAGTCCGTCAGAGCGGAGCAAGAGCAGCGAGTCCGGTAACCCTTGACCTTTCACGCTCGACCGGAGCAGTGACCCCGGCCCGGTCATATTCAGACGCGCCTGTCCCTCTCTCCACTGAGGGGTGATGGCGGCGGTGAAGACGAGGACCAGTCCCAGCGGGGAAAACACGATCCCCGTCACCATGGAGCCTGGAGTGTGCATTCCCAGAGAGAGAGCTGCAACCCCGGGTTTTCTTTAAAAAACAAACACAAAAAACGTTCCTCTGCCTGTGTTTAGAAACAAACATACCAGCTCCACGATTCCTGTCCTCAGATTGCTTTCCACTGTAAATATTTCCAAAACAGAGATGACGATTGCTGCGGCTCCTCCACTCAGGGACGCTGCTTCTTATTAGCACTTGTTGGTTTCGGGGGTCTCCTCAGAACAGCAACAATCTATTCTGAAAGGATAAGTCAACACGATCATGTAAGTATGTATTCACATGTATGTCTCCTCTGCCCATAAAGAAAAACACATGGGATATTTATTACAAAAAAAAAAAGAATCCTCTAGTGGCAAAACAAATCAAAGAAAGTAAGAAATTAAACGACCCAAATTAATTTAAAAAAAAGGAAGTTTACCTCTTTGATAGACAATCTCTTCCTCTCTAGCTGCAGACTCTTCATTCTGACTCCTTGGATGAAAGAGAAATATTAATTCAGAGAGAGTGTTGTGCACATATGGTTGCATATGATGCAGAGAGAGAAAGAGAGAGAGAGAGAGAGAGAGAGAGAGAGAGAGGGGGGGGGGGGGGGGATTTGGTAAACAGCAGAGGTGTGAGGCTCCAGCAGACGGAGAAAGCAGAAGGAGATTTTGCCTTCACAGCTTCCAGCGCTGGACAGGAAAAAGACGGAGTGGTCGATGTCTGTCTCTGTTGCTAGGATACCACAACTTGGCCAGTCTCACGTGACAGTGTGTGTGTGTGTGTGTGTGTGTTTTATTCATAACAAGACATAGTTAGGCTCTATAGAAAGGAGTCTAACTAGGTGTTGTGTGTTGAAATGTTAGCGTATGTGTGTGTTTACAGAAGTATGTGTGTGTTGTTGTCATCTTGGCGATTGATGGCCGGTGATGACCTTGGAAGAATTCAGTGTGGCTAGTAATTATATCGGGGGCCAGTGTCTGAATGCAGAGTGAGTCCATCGACGGTGTCGCAGCCTGGAGGACGAAAGAAAGAAAATGTCCTCTGGGACGCAGACGAGACGACTTAAGGACTACTGTGACTCATGCAGACAAACACACAGACAGACACACACACACACACACACACACACACACACACACACACACACACACACACACACACACACACACAGTAGCCCCAATCAGTGTGATCTCTGTCACATAAACACCCACGGGGTCAACTTCTTTAAAGCTACAATACATCACTTTTCCACCTTAAAATAACAGGTGATAGGGGTACCAGTGGCTTAGAGGTTAGTGCGCGTCCATATCCAGAGGGTGTAGGAGTGGCGTGGGAGTGGCGCAGCAGGGGGCCAATCGTGCTTGAGTACAGCATGGTACAGATGGCCAATGTGACCGCGCATCCACTTCAGACGCTGAACTGGATGTCAAATCCAGATGTCTCGTTGTGGTTTAGGACAGTACAGTTGCACTCAGAGACCCTCAGTGGGTCACCAAACTGAAATCTTCCTTACTGTTGCTTCAGTGAACAAAAACAACACCCTGGCTTTATTGTGAGACCAGCAATAATCTTTTTGAGTTTCCTTTTATTTCTTTACTGAATTTAAACCTTACTTAAGCCTTGTAAATTGCCTGCAATAGATAAAAATGAGGGCTGTCAGCATGAACGCTTCAGAAAAATAAATGCACTTGTTTTTTTTAATCGCCTTGATCATGTGCTGTTTGTCCCTTCAGGCACACCGTAGCCAAGCCACCGCACTGACAGCGGAATCTCCCTGTAGGCTCAGTGAAGAAAAATCTTAAGATGGTACAAAAATACAAAATAAAAGCATAACAAAAATGTTTTTTGAAATGCAAAATAATGATATTTGATAAATGTGATGTATTGCGATTAACTATTGAATTTCAGCGTTGGATCACATTTAGGAAATGCAATCTTTTGACGGCACTAATTAAAACAAAATTTTAGTAAGATTTCAAAATAAAGCTATCATAATGAATGTTTCCACATTATGATTAAAAGTGATAGACATATCCCACGTTAGTACATCTGTGGTTCTTCATGGTCAAACCTTTAATTCTTTAAAAATGATTAGTAGGTGTTATTTAAATAGTATTATTCACATTTTTTTAATTTTGGCAACTCAAGTCACTTTTTTGTAGAGGAAAATTATAAAACAATGACATATTCTTAAAAAAACTTGAATTGATGCCAGATATCACCCTGTGTTTGTTTCGGTGCACCAAGGAGAGGATATTTAACCTTAAATCTGACCTACAATCAAGTTAGTTTATTGGATCCATTATTAATGTGGAGATAATTCACTTGAGCAAATGTCACTGCAGGGTTGATGACATTTACCGTGATTCACCGTCAGTGATTAGTCTCAAGAACAGACATGCTGGAAAAGTATTCAACCAAAACCACGTCAAAAAACTCCAGAATAGACGGTAATTAAAGAAGGATTAACCATCAGGATTAACGTCTGTTTGATTAAGTGAGCCTAGTAAGTGGAAGGCTTTTTGTCACAGACACATACCTGACGTCAACATGTCATCTATGTCTTGAAGCGTTATTCAAACATTGTGATGGGAAACATCCCAGTATTTCCTGTTCTGCTACTGAGAATATTTTCGACTTTGTTAACGTGAGGGGGAAAGAGAGACGAGACATCAAACGCTTCTCTTCCCTCCTGGGGGAAATGAAACGGGACGGTTTCCTCGTTCCCCCCAGCGTTATCACTCGGCATGATTTGACATTTTAAACTCGATTTTGTTTCATTTTTTATGCACAAATTAGGCATGCAATTTGCAGATCGCTGAACCAGATGTCGAGCTCGCTTAACCACAAATCAAACCAAAAATGGAGAAAGTCTGTTTCTGCTGCTGCAAAGCTTTCAAAGCACTGACTTCAGATGGTTTGTTTTGATCCGGAGATGACACCAGAAATGATATCCAAAACATCTGCAGAAACAAAACACTTAAGGAGGCTGCTCATGGTTTGGGAATAATGAACATGATGTAATGATCTATAAATAATCTTTCTTCTCACACAGGCAAATATAACGCTGAAATGTAAACACACACACACACACACACAGTCCATGTCCCCACTTACCATTCAGGAGGGGTCGTGCTGTTTATCTCACTGCAGATCGCTGGCTGCTGCCTCCCTCGCTCGCTCTCATCTGAACCGACAAACATGTTTCTCTCTCTCGGCAGCAGATGGTGCAACCACCTCTTCATCACTCTCCCTCTCGTTCCCCTCTTGTGAAGTGTTGCTTCAGCCGCTTCACCGCCACCTGCCTCTGCTGGCTGGCTTTCTCTGTCTTCATGTCTCTTGTTTGTCCGTGTGTTGCCTGTCTCTTTGTCTCTGTCTGCTCTGCCTTGCTGCACTTCTATGTGTGTGTGTGTCTCTCTCTTTGACTTGCTGAATGATGTCTGTGTTATATCTAGGGCAGAGTGCCTCCCTGCTTTTTTCCCCGTCAGTGGCACCAAATAGGGAATCACAGTTCACATCTCCTTATGCTAAGACATAATCAAGCCTGTGTATATGTGTGTGTGTGTGTGTGTGTGTGTGTGTGTGTGTGTGTGTGTGTGTGTGTGTGTGCTGCAAATGTTGAGAAAAAACAGACAACAAAAGCATAAAAAAAACCCTTGCATGAAGGAAGTACACAAAACATGTTCAACCCCTCATACATACAGATTGGATTCATGCTTTTGTTTGATTTGCAGAGGGCTGATGAAGTGATCAGCTGTTTCCAATCAGCACTTCAATCTAACAAAGACTAATTGAAGCCGTGCACGCAAAAAAAAACGTATAAGCATCTGCCTTCCTTATTTTTTGTTCCAGCGATAATTGATATGCACGCCTCATAACCAGAGATGAGAAAAAGAGACGACGACGATGAAACGAGTCTTTTGCATTTTCTTTATTTTCGTATAAAAGAGGCAAGATATGCTAATACAACCAGAATTGCCGTGGTATAATAATGAAATACAGCAGGGATACATGTTCGTTTTGAAATGATGCGTAAAAGGGGAAGGGATTTCCTGCAACCTTTTTCACACACACACACACACACACACACACACACACACACACACACACACACACACACACATGCATACTATGAAAGGGTTTGGTGGGGGAGCAAGGGTGGTTTTGGGGTTGGGGGGTTAGCTCTGTGGTTACACTATACAGTCAGGAAATGTCCACAGCTTTGGGGCTAAATGATTGCCAATACTAACTCTTGTGTGGTTTGTTGGATGGAAATGTCTGACGTTCGGTTCTGAATCTAACCCAAAGTGTTTCGGGCTGCGATAGTCGTGAAACTAACAGGAACCATTACAGGAACACACTTGCTGGCAGTTTTAAAAAAAACAAAAAAAACAACAACATTGTGAGTTAGTTGTGGGTGGATTATTTTGTAGAAGAAATGATGAGTACACTGAAAGCAGCAGGAATAGCAACCTCTTAAAAAAATGCTGAAAAATCTCCGTAGAGTTATAAAAAAAAATTGAAATACATAATTCATGGAAAATGGATCGCGACATGCACATGGCTAATTCATTAAACACTGTCTTATTTAATCTATTTACATTATATATGTACAGGCTGTTCTTTATAATTGCTCTAACGTTAGAGCATTAAAACTCAAATACGTCATGAGAACTGGGGCGAGTTTATTTACACTTCAGATGAAGGCTTAAAGGTTGAGCTTGAAACTGGAGAGGTCTCTTCAAGTCCAGTTCTCGTACTGGTTTTTTGGCGGTCACAGCTCACATTGTCTCTGATTGGGCAGTGCTATAAGAGATGGTTTTAACTGGCAGCTGTGATTTCATGTCACGCGTCCTTCAGTGGAGCAGTGCCGCTGATTGGACGCTGCATGGACTTCATACTTCTACGAGGGTGACCTGGAACTGGCCGCCGGCGACCTCTGACATCTCGATGAGGAAGGCCGACTGGTTGGTGTAGTGTTCGATGATGTTGTCGTCCATGTTGACGTAAATCCTGAAGAAAAGAAAAAGCGAAGAAATCAGTCAGGTGTCCACAGGAAGTCAAATTATCCTAAACTGCAAAAACTGAACCGTCTTTAAAACTTTTACATGCAAATCGACTCTTAATGCTTCATGCTCTACTTTGCTAAGCGTTCTTAAACAACAAGTCACCAGGTTTCTCCTTTTTTTTTTGATAAAACGCCTCATTCGTTTTAAAGGAAGCATCTCGCTCCTTAAAAAAACATGCTAGGCCGTATATCTCCTGCATCAGTACGGGTAGTAAATCAGGTCACCTTCTTCCTCCTCCCCTCCTTTTCTAACCAACCTGTAAGTCTTAAGGGCTTTAATGACTGAACTCATGCATTCTGCCTGCAGGGACACGGCTGATTGAAGACTGGAGGTAAAAGAGGAGGGAGGAAACCGCAGGGAGAGAATGTAACCCAACCTGTTAGCTTAGCTGCTCCCCCCCTGAAGTGCTTGCTGCGAGCACACAGCAGGGAAAATCACCCAAAGGTGTTTCAGTGTCTCTTGGGAGGTTGTTTTTTTTTTACATCTGCCCTCTGATCTCTGGAGTTTCACACAAAGGGACTCAGACTAGTATAAGTTTGACAGCTGATGCATTATGGGTTAGCTTATTTGATATTTGGAAATCCTGCTAATCGGACTTTTGAACAAGCAAAGGCAGGAGATGGCTACTGAGGCTTTCTTTATATTTTCCTGTGGTGTTAGCCAACTTTAAGTAAGTTTTTCTCCATAGGTCACTTTTGCAAAGCAGCCCTATTCCGTGCAGAAGATCATCTGAGCTCAAAGAAACGTAAGAGATTTGAAAAAAAGATAAGAACTTGATTTGCAACTCTCAAAGACTGGAACCCTTGAAGACTTAAATTTCACCCAACTATCTCTTTTCAACTATGACAAACTTCCTGATGGTCCAATGGGAAGAAGTTATGAAAACATTTTTTTTTTAAAAGTACAGCAATGACTCATCTAAAGGACTTCTGAAATCATTCCCTTTCAGTCACCCGTCTTTCTTTTGTAGGACCTGCAATTAACGCATTCCAGCGGGGCCGAGCCAACTAACCTACCCACCCTGTTTGTTGACCTGAGCTTATTTTAAGACGGGGAAAGATTAAAATGACAAACTAAGCCCTGAATTGATCCGCATCGTCTGTCCCAAATCCACTCAGCCTGCGTGTAAAGCCACCTGTGTTCATTGCATTAGAACAAAGAAAAAAACAGAATGAGGGAGCTCACCCTCTCTTGCATTTCTTGTAGATTTTCCCAATGGCGTCTTTTTGCATACCGTACTTTTCTGAAACCTGAGGGGAGGAACGGAACAAGAGATGACAGTTAGCGTGATGTTGTCAGTGACAAATGATATGCTTGAGAGAGAGAGAGAGCGTGCCGTAAAGCGAATGCTATGCGAACACGATGTACGATAGCGTGTTTGTTGGAGGGAAACAACAAAGGCGAGGTGGTGGGGAAAAACCAAGTCTGACGTTTTTCTATTTACAGTATGTTACTTACGGCTTCTCGTAGACCCGACACCGTTGGCGTGTTGAGCATGAGCGCATCAAATACCTCCTCAGCGCCCGACCTCACGTAGAGCAGAACTATTGGAGGAAATTTAAAAAATTAGCACGGAGGACACATTTAGCGTATTGGCTACATGCTAATCTTTGCATTGTTTTTTTTCTATCTACCTCTTTGTGGGTCTTCTCTGCGTGCTTGCTTGCTGGGTGGAGAGCTTGACTGGTCTCTCTTTTGATACAATCTCTTCATCGAACTCCTTTAAAAAAAAACAGATCAGACATTCACGTTAGACTTAAACAGCCACTGTGTTTTTATTTGGGAGAATAAGCAGATGTGATGGACTGCTGTTAATGTGCTTTTTTGGCTTTGCTTACCTGTCAGCTTCGTCCTTGGGAGTGGCCTGGTTGGACAAAGAGAGAGACAGAGAGGAGACCTGATTAGAGATCTGATGAGACAGCACTCCATGCACACTGATAAAAGCATTGCTTAATGCCCCCCGCCCCCACCCCTATTGTGTGAGCACAATACCTTCAAAAAGGAATGTTATCATCATTACTCTAAGACTGCATTTCCCATAACTTTAAAGAGCATAACGCAAGCGTGGGCGCTGATGCAGAGACAAAGGTAGACTCATCCTGTGCTTTATCACAATGGCCAATCGAAGATGTTATAATGACTCCATCATTCATAACTGCCTTTGAGGTTTTGTGTCGTGATGTAATTTTGCGATCACATGGCAGGAAGTTGTGTAAGTTTTCCCTCTATACTCACACATCAGAACGTATAGTGTGGGAAAGCTGGCCTGTCTGAACAGCCCCCCTCGCCTCAATGTTTTTTCAAGTGTTTGTAATGGGTAATATGAGGGTGGTGCACATGAAGGTGCAACAGGTGTGTGTGTTTTTTTTTCTCCATCTAAACCCCTATAGCCTAATGTCAGTGTCAGTAGCTGCAGCGGCTTGTACCTGTGCCCGGTTTCGACTCCCATTAACTCATCGGATCTCTACCTTCACTTTCGCTGACACCATCCCCTCCTTTTTTTTTTTCCCAGCCCACTTTTCCCACCACATACTTTCCCACAGTTTTTTTTTTCCCCTGCCTCTCTCTCTCTCTCTCGTGCCTTTCCTATCCCCTGAAGGGATACAAGGGTCGGGAAAATGAGTCACTCAACTCAGGGAATAAAGAGAGAAGATTTACTAGCAATAACAAACGTGTGTCTGAAGGAGGACCTACCATGCGCTGTAAGCTGGAGAGGTGTGTTTCTGGGATGAAGAGGACCGGCTGGGTGACGTGGTCGTCCAGGGTTTGGAAGAAGGTGCATTCACTGCCCATGGAGCTGCTCACTAAAGACTTGTTGGCTGGAAATAAAAAAGACATGAATGTTAGAATAAACCCTCCGAATGCAGTATTATATACTCCAAGTATAATCGAGGTTGCAATACTTACTGTTTGCGTCATTCTTTCCCCTCCTCTTAGATCTCTTCCTCTCCTCATCACGCATCTTCCTCTCTGCACCCTTTGAAAACAACAACCAAATGGTCACGATTCAACTCCTAAACTGCCATTTGTCTTTTTTGGTTTTTGTAGTGTTTAAGAAAAGGAAATTAGGTGAAGTGACATACCTTATCACAGAAAATCTTGACCTGGCAGGCAGCTCTGTGAATGAGCTGGTTTGTTCCTGAGCTGAAGTCGTAGGTGTCAATCTGGATGTTGAGCGGCAGGCCTTTCACTCCCTTCTGAGAGGAGAAGTCTGTGCTCAGAGAGTTGATGCCAATGTAAACCTGTAAGCATAGGAGAATGTATTTTAATGCTAATGCTGAAAGATGTTTGCCAATAAAGTCCAAGGAAGAAGCTTTGTGCAGCATGATGTCATGTTTGGAGAGAAATTGAGAACGACTTCCTCTCTGAGTTTTTTTTCTCCCTCCATCCATGTTCTTTTCTCACTTCCTGGTTTTTCATATCATTAAAATCACAGTATTCATAGCCTTTCTTCACATTTTCTGCTGCTACTTCTTCCCTATCCTCTCCACCTGCAACATGTTTGGTAGCTCCACCCCGGCGCCCTTTGGGCCACAGAGGAGCTCAAAATGAGCTGTCGTGGCTCTCGCCTGCTGTGGTGACAGGAGCCTCGGGGCCAAACACATTTCTGGGATTCCTCCCCTCCCTCCTCAGCCACTCCTTCTCTCTCCACCTCTCTCGTCTCTACCTTTCCTCTCTTTCCTTCTAAAACCATCCACCTGTTCTTCTCATTCTCTTTCACCTCAAAGAGCTTAGTTATATAAAAACATTGACGCGTTGTTATTTCATAATTATGACCGATTTGTTGAATGTGTTTACCTTTGCCTCTTCATTGGGGTTCCAAACAAAGGAGAGAGCGTTGAAGGCCACCTCCTCTACGTTGCTGACGCCGCTGAACACTTCTTTGTAGTCTGCTGTAAAAGGAGAATTACATCTTTTATATTCTCTTCTTAGCCAAAGAATGGTGAGATGCGTTCACTTTTACTGTATGTCCAAGATGTTATCGTCTGCATAGAGCAGAACAGTGATCACATACATGTATTTTCAATTAGTGTTCAACATACCGATGTCAATGACCCTCTGCTTGGCGGTTGGCTGGCGCGCATGCCAGTGATTCCAAAAGCGGAGTTGCATCTCTGGGCTTTTGTCATTCTCAAACACAGCCATCACCACCGTCTGTCGTTGTTGGGGGGGAGAAAGGTGACAAAAAAAAAATCTGTGAGTTAGGAACATTTGTCAAGCTGTAAGCAATCCTTTCACCTGACTACACCTTTTGAGAACAATCAGCTCTTCTCTAAACGCCACCATGTTCCATTTATCATCCTAAATCCCCTTTTTCTCTTCACATTGTGTTCAGTTATTTGCAGTGAGTGGGTGTGTGTTTGTGTATGGCCTTATCCTCTGATTCACTTGACTAAGTTAAGAGTTGTCAATCAATGTTAAAAAACTACACCACACCTTCCCCCCCTTCTTGTTCACTCCTTCTTTTTTTTTCACCCTGAGCTGAGCTGATCTCCACTGCACTCTGGCCTCATTACACCAGCGTAGGAATACATTTAACAGGGCAGGACGCTGTCATTTAAATGCCAGCAGCCCTGTGCGCAGGGTGTCAGCAGGGAATTAGTCACTGAGGAGCTGGCTCCAAGGGAGGGACAGATTTTTGGGAAGGGTTGGCTCGGTGGCACGCAAGGAATTTACGTATTCATGCTGGAAAAAGGCCCGAGGGGAAATATGCCACATAGAACAAAAGTCGCCGATTGTTCGTACACATCTTGCATGTTAATAGAACAAAACAAGAACTCTGGGTAAACATTTCTCAGAAAGAAATGTTCCTGGCTTTCCTAACGATGACTCACCTTGACTTTAGTGGCAGTAAGGCATGCGCTGTCCACTCCCTGCAGAGTGATGGGGTAGAACTGGCCCTTGTTCAGGTACACCATGGGCAGCTCGCTGGACTTGTAAGTAGACGCAAGTGGAGCACCAAGAGAAAACTGGAAGTCGCTCCTGAATCTCTCATGTGGAGAGCCGGTGTAGGAGCCTGAGTAGACCGGGCTGGACTGGTCCTCGGGGAAGGGATCGCTGTAGGGAAGAGTCTGAGATTGCAGAAAACGCAAAAAACAATATAAGTTAATATATGCAAGACAGAAATGCTGAACAGGAAAAAAAGCTCAGAAAAACAAGACTGGGCTCTCAGATAAACTTACCTCTGTGCTGTGGTCCGGGAAAGCCCCGCTCTCTGGCCACTTCTGCAGCAAGGAGTCGAAGATAATGTTGAGTTCCTGCTTGTCGTAGGTGTCAGACACGACGCTGGTCAGGGTGGCGTAGGTGTCTGAGGTTGTGGGAATGGGTAGGGAGGTGTTCTGCTTGGATCCCAAAACCTCTTGGGGATGGCTCGAGGGAACACCCTCGGAGAGGATCTTCATAACGTTGGCGGATGCGTCCAATGTAACATAGTCATTGGTGTTTGTAGGATTCCTGGCGGGGTGGGGGGGAACAAAAAAGGAAGAAGGAAGAAAAGACAAAGCTGATTAAGTGATCAGGAAAGCTGCTTTTGTCAGGTCAGCATGACTCAGAAATACTACACCCACGGTACAAAGAGGGCAAGAGAACAAACAACCTAACTGTAGTGCCTCTAGAACATGACAGAAGCCTGTGCAAACAAACACTAGTCTAAACACTCTCACCACATACAGCTACCGCAAAGGAGAACTCAGGGAAAGACACGGTTTGAGTCTGGGTGGGAACTATTTGTACCCTAATCCAGCTTTCTTTATCTCTGTGTTTGAGTTTCTCTGCTTAAGATGTTTGAGGCACCAACACTGTGCCCCAACAATGGCCATCACTCTCTGGACAACGAGAAGTAGTTGGAATGGAAAGCTCAGTAACAGAGGGAAAACAACTCCTTGCTTTTTTGGGGAAACTCTTGAACAAGCAGAGATGATGAAGAGAGGGTTGGATGGAAGGACTTGAGAGGTGGACAATAATACCACTGACTATGTTTGATTTGGGGATTACTGTCTCAAATGTTTATGGCCTCCCAAAGCCCTGCCTTTCTCTCGCTGTATTAACACTTTCTAGACCACATTTGGGTGTTGGGATGAACATCTGGATTTTGGGTCTTACCTCTCTGTTGATTTGCAAATGTTTCCTCCACGGTTGCAACCAGTGATCTTCTGCTCTTTCTGGCTCTGGAAAAAGAAAGACAAATGGTGGTCAGAATGGGAAAGTTAGACTTAAACTTGTGGACAACAATGAGTAAAGATCGGATTCCCATGATTCTGCATTATCTACCTTGCACTGTTCGTAAAGCATAGTTAAGGCTGTCAGGTCATCTCCCGGTTGCAGTCTGGGTTTGGAGTGGTTCAGCTCAGGGACAGGGTTATCCATGTAGGACCAGGACTCCATTATGTGGTTGGTGTAACGGTTAAAGTTCTCACTCTGAAAGATCAGTCCCAGAGTCCTGCAGATAGACACAGAAATAGTGTTTAAGTAGACATTTCAACACTAAAGGAAATTTGGATTTATCTAGTTGCTCAATGGATAAATACATATTTTACAGTATCCTAAATGCTTGTTTGAGAGATAGCGTTTGTTGGTGTGCGTCTACATTGTAATTTAGCAGTAGTGACTGGCCCTCAGGGCACTGCACATACTTGCTGCTGAGCGTGGAGGGTTTCGATTGCAAAACCGCAGAGCTGAGTAACATCCCTTTTAGAAGCAGTGGTGTCAAAAAAGGTTTCTTTTAAAAAGGCCAAAGGGCCACCCACTATCAGCCCACTCCACCTCCAACCCCCCCACTCAAACATACACATCTCAAATCCTGTATAAACATACTTATTTGCTTTGGTCTCAAAACAGACGACAAGGTATCTTACTAGTAAACAGAACCCTGCAGTTGCGCTCAGGTGAGCTCAGCTTTTCAGAGCCCGGGATTCTGAGGCTTGGATTTGTTTGGAAAGGCTCACAGTGACATTGGATTGTAAATATCCTGCCTACCATGATAAATCCCCCTTTGGAGTCAGTCTGAAGTAGCTAATGAGCAAATAAAGCAGCCGTTTACTCTGGATAAACAGCTAATTGAAATGTGCTGACAGGAGTGGGAGACCACAGGTGTTCACGACCACAGAAGAAGTGAAGCTCAAAGAGAAATGGAATGATTCATGAGAGCATCTAGACATCTATACTGTACTTTAAAGTGGATTGCTTAACATTTAACGTTTCTTAATAACACCACATTAAAGACGGGGTTTAAGTCTGCTTGTACACCTGCTCTAAGATGCACCTGTCTCTCCTTCTCACACCTTTGCAAAAAAAAAAAAAAAAACACAACAGCTCCATTAGTTTCTCTCCATTTCCCCCTAAAACTAGAAAAAGTTCAGATGTGTAGACACAGACGCTGGGAAGGGGGAAGGGGGGGCTCGTGTCTAGGGTTTCTCCATTATGTAATTCAATGCATTACATGCTGTCATTGCCCCCTGTCTCTGTCTAACACCTCAAGAGGAGATTCTTATTTCCCGGTCCTCTTTTGTGCACAGTGGCCCCTAGGTTAGTGACAACACAAGCCGAAACAGACCACGGGCTCAAGTGTGTGTTTGTGTGAGTGTGTGTAAAACCTATCCATATCAATTTCCCCTGCAAAACACCCCTTTCTTAAAAAACAGGGATCTTTCACATGGGGGTCTCATTGCAAAAAAAGGAAGAAGGGGGAGTTTCTTTCCCACCAGACATTAAATCCCTACTGTCAAACACAAAGTCTAACTCACATGTTCCTAAAAATAAGTAAAAATAGTTATTTAAAAAATGTTTTTGAATGAAATGCACATTTGTGCTTAAATAGAAAATCCTTGTAGAACTTACTCAGTCTCTTTGGTCATGTCTCCAGTCCAAGTCAGCCGGAATAGTTTCCTTTAGTTTCAACTCTTGTGCTGTTTAGACGTGTGTGTGTTTCCCTCTGCACCGGTGAATCAGTCTTAAGAGGAGCAGTGACACACAGATGAGTCAAGTGTTGTGATTCCCTCTTTGAACGGGGCCCAGATTTATTTCATGCGAGCCAAGTATTCCCTCTGTGCTCTGATTGGCTGAGAGGAATGAAACAGGTGTCTGATAGGACAGGTGTAGGATTATTAACCCTTCCCATGCTGGAGAGAAACTGGCTTACATGTGTATGAGTGGTGTGCAGCCTAGAGAGCACTTTGCAAAACAATCCAGGACAGGAGGATTTTCGGGTCTCATTAGCATCGGGGATAAAAGAGTGAGATCGGGGATCTCAGAGGTGTGAAAGGCTTGGTAATGATTCTGAGAAAAGCCTGGAACTCGGCTTTAATATGTTAATTATGTTAATAGTTTGTCAGTATCATTTTTCACTCTCCTTGGATTTACATGTCATACACAGGTTTTGGTTTCTTTATTTATTTTTTTCATTGAAGGTGGAAGAAGGGACACCAAAGTGTGGTGATCAAAACTCCTGAAGAGAGTCTCAAGTGAAGTGTATGTGGGAAAAAAAACATGTTATCATTCAGAATTTATTATTTTTTAAGAAAAAGGAAAGATTTCTTTAAAAAAAAGAATGTAATTTCTCAAATTAAGAATCATGTGGCACTTTGTATAAATACATTTAAAGGATTCTTTAATGAATAGTTTGAATTGTCATATTAATAAAGATAAATATTCACTCACATTTCCCAGTATAAAGCAATAATTGAATATATTTTAAGAAGAACAACAAATGATGACAGTATTTTTTTTCAACCTTTTAAGTTGAGTTGTGTCAGTGTGTGAAATGTGCGACAAATAAAACAGGAAAATGTGTTTATTTATCAGATGTGACGGAATAAAAAGTAAAAATACAATTGAAGGAGCTTTATTCTGAAATCTGCAAAGCAGAAGTGTAATCAGAGCTTTATTCCCTACATTTGTATGATTATAAAGGCTTCTCAAATATTTACAACTGTTTCTGTAAATTTATTTATTCACTTCCCCACTATCAATCTTGCACAAACACTTTTCTTGTAAATAACTGTTAATATATTTTTATAACGTGAAATATTTTCTAAACGCTGCTTTACAGGATTGCTGCCAACAGTTTTGTTGTGTTCTTTCAGACACTGACAATAAAGAGTGGATCTTTCTATCTATTAATGCACTGACAGATTATGTCTCAAATGTTTTAATGATGTTTGTGTTTTATTTACTTGTTGTGTATCCTGATTGTGGTGTCGATGATGTTTGCTGTGTGGATGAATCGACCTGGTAGAAAATGAGTTTCCCCGCTCGGGGTTAATAAAGTTTTCTGATCTAAGTTTACAGTTTGTTTTTTTGTTCCATTTGTCCCACATGCAGCACATGAATACAAAAACATGGTGTGTTTTTTTTGGCATTTTTCCAAAACAGAAAAGTATTAAGTGATTCAAGTTTTGACCTCGGTTTTATTGTAAAGTTAGTAAATCGTATAAAAAACAAACTATTTAAGTGATGAATTTAAATAATGATGATCATGTTTAACTTTTTTTTTGAAGATTGTGTCTTTATTGTAGAGATATTACAGTGGATAGAGTCGGAAATCAGGGAGAGAAAGAGAGAGAGAGAGAGAGAGAGTGTGGGGAAAGGAGCCCTGATTTGAACCCGGGCTGCCCGCCTGGAGGACCAAAGCCCCGGTACATGGGGCACACACTTAACCACTAAGCTACCGGCGCCGCAACTCCTTTTTATTTAACTTATTTTTATTTTAAAGCACATTAATCAACATTTCTGTAAACATGCCAGAGTTATCCAACATGCTAGTTTTCATCTGTAATCCCTGGCCTGATTTTTTTAGAATATGCTTCCTGATTCTGAGTGAGACAACTACTGAGTGAAATGTTAACTTTCACAATGAATCACAATCAAACACACACACACACACACACACACACACACACACACACACACACACACACACACACACACACACACACACACACACACACACATTTAGGAAATGAAGCCAGAGCTCATAACTGCAACCTCAAAGCAGCGACGCTTGTGAGGTGTCAGTCAAAGATATCATCTTCCACCCACTCACCTGTGCACACACACACACACACACACACACACACACACACACACACACACACACACACACACACACACACGCACGCACACACACACACACACACTTACACACACAGAGAGTACAATGTGTATGTGTGTATGTATAATTATAGCTAGCTGTATATTTGTTCATTTTATGTGTGAGCACCTCTTGTCGCTGACACCTGAAGGGATCTGGCGTGGTAACACACAAGGGTGCGTGCTGTGCAGCCTGCCCACACACTCGCACACACCCTCATGGAGTCCTACACACACACACACACACACACACACACACACCAGACACACACACACACACACACACACACACCAGACACACGCATACAGAAAAGCCCAGGGGCAAGTTGGCAGCATGTCAGGAGAGAAATATAAAGATGGAAGACGTTCTTGTTATGGCACACCTTCCTGATGAATTGCATGTATTTAAAGATCATCTGTGAACTTAGAACTACATCCTCTGCTGCAACACTTTCACAATGTATGTCGATTTCATGGAATCACAACCCAGGTTGTTCATTTTTGCTTGACTCAAAATGTCCTTCAAGCTTCGTTCTAACACTCAAGGAGAAACGAACAGACATTTAAAGATGGTGGTTGTGGTCGATCTGCCTCGCTTTCACAAATCATCAGCTCGTTGAGGGTGTGAAGGGCTTCTCTCATCTGTCCGTTTTCTCTCTCTCTCTCACTCTGTCTTTCTTAGCTTTTCTCAATGTGTCCCTCATTAACACGGTGAAATTACCACATCAATGTAAAACTCTCTCTCTCTCTCTCTCTCTCTCTCTCTCTCTCTCTCTCGCGCTCTGCACTTCCACACATATGAAATCATGATGAGAGTGATCAGTACTTCATCTTGAGCTACTTTTACTGCATCCTGAAAAATGTAGCTGATCTAAAATTGACTAAATTCATTACAGTTTAGATTTGAGAGCAACGTCAGAAGTTGTAATGCTCAGTCCAATGATGACACACAGTTAGTATAGACATGATTACGACTGAGACACAGTTGACACATGGTTTTTATGGCTCATGCACATAATTAATTTAATTAATCTGAATTCATCAATAGCTTGAAATTGTGGGACTTTCACAGCAGCTGAAGTTCATTTCAACATCTGGTTTACGAAACAAAAAATCTTACCAGAGAGAAAACAAATAGATTTATATGAAGGAAACAATTCCCAGTGATTTATTAATAAGATGTCAACACATAAATGAGTTTGAATGTTTTTCAAATTTTTCAAATAAAACAAAGGCCTTTATATTTCAGACGATGAAGAGGAGTTTACGAGTCGGTAAATTAGGTGGAAAATACAAACCTGTGCCAACAATTTGGCCTGCGTCATGTTGCCTGAGTTACAATGTACAACATATATTCATTAAATATACAGTAAGTAGTGCTGTGTATGAAAGAATATAAGGAAAGGGAACCAAAGGTGTTGTTTGTCTTTTTTTAAGATTTCTTTTTGGGGCTTTTTATACCTTTGTTTCAGAGATATAGGACAGTGGATAGAGTCAGAAACTGGTGAGAGAGAGAGAGAGAGTGAGGGGACTGACATGCGAGTAAGGAGTGACAAACCCGGGCTGCCCGCTCTCAAGGACTACAGCCTCCCTACCTACCTGTCTCTTTCCCCAAAGTCTAACTCTAGTCTGAGAAACAAGATCCCATCAGTCTTATCTTCAGAGTTCAACTTTCATCTCTTATTTGCGTAAAAATTCGTCAACGATCCCGGAGAGACCTCCCTCTGGAAGGATGTCACAAGATGTTCAAACGGCTGCCTTTTCATGCCTTGATACTGACCCATGGAGTGTGAAACCGGGACCCTTTGTGTCCCTCTGCTGTGTGTGTGTGTGTGTGTGTGTGCGTGTGAGCGTGCGACCATGCATGATCTCTCACAAACAGACATCAGCGCTGGCTCTATGCACCAGTGCTGCTGAGAAGGAGCTCTCTCATCACCTTTCTCCTCCCACTGTCTTCTCCTTTTTCCTGTGTCCACCTCACTCCTCCTTTCGCCCACCTTTTTGTTTTCCTGCTCCTACTTTCCCTACGGCTGCTTGACCGCCGTCCTCTCTTTCTCACCTAACCTGATGCAAATATTCTGCTTTTAAAACAAAAAATAAATCCTGCGTGGTGAAGATAAGACATAAATTAGAAGCCAATTCTGTCGCTCTTCTCCTTGACTCCTACGCAGCACACATATCTCACCATCTCTTTCTCGTTCTGTCTATTTGCTCTATTGCCTGGTTTTGTTATGGAGGAATGTGTGCTGAGGGTTGACAGATATAAGGAGCCTGCGGGGCGTGTTGCACTCAATCGCCTCCTCAGCTGTGGGAAACCAGCAACAAGTGGTGCACCTGTTACCGTAAAGGCCCGACACATTTACTTCAAACCGCTTTTACCAACGCCACTTCCTCCTAAACTGCTATGCTCTTTAAAGTATTCAGTTTAACTAAGGACGCATTCACACCTAAGACTGTTTATAACAAACTCTGGGGTGCTTTATCGGATAGTTCGTTTGGTTTGGGGTGGTGTAAATACTCAAATGAACTCCCTGAAATGACCTGGTACCAAAGAACCGTACTCTGGTCATCTTAAAAATGGGGGTCTCGGTTAATTTCCATGTGCTCTAGAGTTCAGTTCACCGTATGTGAGAACACGTTCCAAACCAATCAAGGGAATTGAACCAAAATGCAATTCATTATAGTTTGAATTTGGCTGTCTGTGAATAATGTCAGATAGTTTTGTCGTTTTGCTAACACCAGCCTTCAGTCCTCCTTGCAGGTTAAC